TTCAGCAGGAGAGCATACATAACCCCAACTGTCTACTCTTTCATGTCCAGATTCATGTCATCAAATTGCATCAAAGCACTTCACAGAACTTTATTGTCATTTACAGACCAAAATGTACCAACTGCTGACACACTACATGTGTCCAGTCAAACCCCAGTACATGAACTTGATAAGATAGAGGACCGCAAATTCACAGGTACTCATAATAACACCTATAACATAGGCGTCAATAAAATCATGTGAGATTTTGTTTAAATAATTTATATGTATCCATGCTCATTTCAGCTCACCAGTTAGTCAACAGTCTGTATTTACATTTCTGTTCGTAGTTTGACTCCAACTCCCTCCCTTATCTTTCTATTCCCCTCTAGGTCATGTGAAGGTCTAGCTACGTCTTGAATGACATCTATACAGTCTGATTCAACTGCCTCTTCAGGCAGCAGGTTTCACAATCTCACTACCCTCTGTGTGAAGTAGTTCTCCTGAATTCTCTTTTAGATCCCAGTTACTATATTCTTATGTCCCCTGGTTACAGACTTTCTAACCAGTGGAAGCAACCTATTTATGTTAACCCTATCATAACCTTTTATCACTTTGAACATCTCAGTATATGCGTTCTTGTATGGTGTCTATATGATGGTCAATGGACCGTTGTGTGTCTCTTGAATTTTAATTATAATTGTCTATTACAATTATTTAACATTTTGGATTGTCAATGCCCTGTTTGGATTTTGACAGACGTTTGATGTCATGCATTACTTTTCATATGACATGTTGACATGAAGCCATACAATAGTTAAAAGTATCGTTGAAAGATTGCTGTAGTGCTAGGTATCACTCATCTGAATTGTTTCTTATAAGACTGATGTGAAGTATATTGGGTCATTTTGAAATAATTCAAACTGATGCATAACAGCTCATAAATATATATCTCCATTGATTTAGTGAAGGAGCATTTACAGAGGTTTGTATTTGATTTATTTGTTGTCCCTTACAGACCGTAAGCTGTCAACTGCCAACCCTCCACATATGTTCAGTGGAACCCCAGTATCTGAACTTGATAAGATAGAGAACAACAAAGGTACTCACAAGAATCCCTAAGGCAAAAGTGCCAAAGCATCATGTCTCATTTGATACAAACCTTACATCAATATCACGTCTCATCCCAGCTCACGTGTTATTCAGTAGATTTAATTTGTGTTTCTGGTCACAGCTTTGCTTTGTACTATATATTTATTAGATTTTTCTTTAGAAAGTAAGATTTATAATGTCTAGTCTTATATTTTATGTTACCATTTCCGTTTTAAAGCAAAATGGCTACTTTTACAGCATAGTGTTTCACTTTGATACGGAAAACAGCACTGCTGAACGATATTGAAATGAACAGTGCAACCATATGCAATCACCTCCTAATTGCCAATATCTTTATTGATTATTAATGAGAGAACAAGAGATTTGTATTTGGCTTCTGTTTTGTTCCTCACAGACCATAAGCTGTCAACTGCAGGCACTCGGTATGTGTTCAGTCCAAGTCCAGTACCTGAACCTGATAAAATAATTCGCAGCGAATCCAAAGGTACTTGCCATAATACCAATGATGTGAGGCAGCGTAGCATCACATAACATTAATCGGTCTATCTATGCATCTGAGCTCACGTGTTCTCATCCATATCTTCCCGCCCACATCCTTATCTGCAAAAAAACTGCATACCCATCACCATCCTCCTTGTCAAGCTTCACTGCACCCTGTCTCCCAGCAGATCAACTTCAAGATGCTCACTCCCACCCACATATCCATTCACTCCCTCTCACCATCTTCCTCTGTGATTTTTCTCCAGCCTCACTCTCCTGCTCACTCTCTGCTCTGGAAAGTCCTAACTGCTGCAGGTTGTCTGCCCCTCCGCTCCAGTGTTGATGGCTGGACCCTTCAGCCAGTGTCGCCTCACACTCTGGAACGCTCTCCCCTCAACTCCTCCATCTTGCCCCTCTATATCCAACCCCTCTTTATCTATAGTGAAAAAACACCTAACAATGTACCCCTTCAATTCTGCCTATGGGTTTTTTGCATGGGGTCTATTCATTTCTCTTGTGCAAAATATTGATCAATTTGCTGTGATCAAGTGCATGGATTTCAAGGGCCATGCTTATGTGCGTTGTGTTACTTGGTCAATTTCTTCAGTTTAGTTCATGAGGCTGAACACTGAGACTTCGCTGCAAAAAATTATTTTATGATCCATGTTACATATGTTATGTAGACAATGCATGTTGCTGATGAGTTATCTATGATATCTATGTGTTGGGCACTTGTCACAAATGCTCTGCTACATTCACTCAATTTTATTTAGTACTTTTCTTTGCACTTGTGTGAAGTGCATCGGGTTGACAATTACTCTGTGTCTTACATAGGGATTTATTGTTTTATTGCATGAAATGTATTAGATAGTAAAGAATTTTAGGTACAGTTGTCTGCATTGTGTCAGGTCACCATTGATTTTTAGAGATTGGGCTGATCTTACATAAATTACTTGGTCAATAAAGATGGTTTATTGATCTTAAATACTCCTATTACATCCAGAGTCTACTACATTAACATTAGCTATGTTAATGCAAAGTTTACTGGATAGTTTATACATTGGAACCTAATTTGTCGTATTTCCTAATGGGATTTCTAAATAAGCATATAATAAGACCCCACAAATTAGTGCCGAACGTGTTTCGGTTGCATGCTCGTAGATTGTGAATATGCTGTTACCTCATAAATTTTAATCTAAAGTTTAGTTAAGTCCTTACAATATTTGTGAAGCTGAAATGTTGCTGTTTCATTGAATGTTTGCCATTAGGTTATTTGTTCTTCTGCCAACCCCATAAAGTATACTGGATGCTTTGAATTGAATAAAGCAAATATTGGCATAAGGGTTTATACTCATCAATATTCCTATGGATTTAGTTAAAGATTTGTACACAGTTTTTTTGTTGTGCTTTTCAGACCATATAGTACCAACTGCTGACACCCCATATGTGTTTAGTAGTACCCCAGTGTATGAACTTGAAAACGTAGAGGACAACACATCTTCAGGAACTCACAAAAAATTCTATGACCTGGGTATGAATAGCATTATGTAACATTATGCTGAAACTATAAGCATCTCTACTTATCCCAGCTCATGTTATTCAGTATACATTCTTACTGCATAGCTGTTAATAGTATGTTCCACACTTTGTATGATATATTTAAACAAATTAGTATTATCTTGTGTCCTGCATGATTATATTATAATGAAATGATGTCTTATCAGAGTTCGCTAAAGTATAGACAAAAGATGCTTTTGCTATCTTCACTTTGTTACATCTAGTAAACTTGTGTTACACTTGGACAAATCATTTTAGATAGTTAACACATTGCCTTGCATGGAGCCTATTTATTGCTATTGTGTGAACGATATTATTTGACTAATTTGCTGAACATCTCATGGATTTTTAGGGTCCATTATCTACATTGGTTTTCCTTGGTCACAACTTTTGGTGCACTTTATGAAGCTTGTTGCTGTGCCACTATGCCCCACCCTCTAAAATATTGCTGTTAACTGTTTGTCATTAGGTTAAAGATTTGTATACAGTTTCTTTGTTGTGCTTTTCAGACCATATAGTATCAACTGCTGACACCCCATACGTGTTCAGTAGTACCTCAGTGTATGAATCTGAAAACATAGAGGACATCAAATCTTCAGGAACTCACAAAAAATTCTATGACATGGGTATGAATAGCATTATGTAACATTATACTGAAACTATAAGCATCTCTACTCATCACAGCTTATGTTATTCAGTATACATTTATACTACATAGCTGTTAATAGTTTGTGCCACACTTTATATGATATATTTTCTACACATTTCTATTTTAGTTTTATCTTTCGTGCTGCATGGCCATAATATAGTGAAATGATATCTATCAAAGCACAGCAGTTCACTTATGTACAGACAAAAGACACCATTCTGTAACTGAGCTGTGCATCACCAATGCATACATGCTATTGTTACCTTCTCTTTGTTACACCTGGTAAACTTTGCTTTACACTTGGATAAATCAATTTGGATAGTCAACACGTTGCCTTGCATGGAGTCCTGTTGCTGTTGTGTGAAAAATATGATGTGATGAACTTGCTGTACGTTAGGGTCCATCCTTATCTAAGTTGGGTTGCTTGGTCACAACTTTTGGTGCACCTCATCAAGCTTGTTGCTGGACTAATGCAATCTGTGAGCTATATACACTGCAAGGAGTGTCTCTTGTGGAGATGAAGGCATGTTTCTGAAGTGACATTTGTGACATCAATGCGTCTGGGCGAGCACTTACTAAGAATGCTATGCCACACTCACTCAATTTCAATGAGTGAATTATTTTGCACATATGCACTTGGGTTCTCAGTTGTGCTGAGTTTTGCATGCAGTTTCATTATTCTTCAGTGAATTATATTGGATGGTAAATACACCATGCTTTTCATGGAATTTATTGTTGTCTGTATTATTATCATTTGTCCAAGTTGTGTAGCACATTTAGCTTAGAGATTTTGCTTATATAGAATCTATTGCTTAGACAATACATTATTTTGTATCATTGGAGCTTAAATATTCCAGTTGTGTCTGTCGCATTATCATGACTCTGCTTACGAAAGTGTATATATAAATACAACTTATGTTGTATTGGATGGTCAATATACTCTTTCTTGTTGGACTTCAATGGACTTTGAATATGATACATTGTCTATTTAATACATTTTGATATACAATCCATTAAATTCTGCACAATATTTGTATAGTTGAAACTTTATTTGGCCTGTTAAATGCTTTTAATCAGGTAATTTGGTATTATGCATCTGTAAAGTGGATTGAGTGGCACTGAATTGAGCAATGCAAGTATTAGTTTACTGCCTCCTAGATATTACTGTCCAGCACAGTAAGTTCACAAAGATTTGTGTTTGGTTCTTTGCTATCCCTTTCAGAACATAAATTGTCAACTGCCGACACTCCATATGTGATTAGTGGAACCAGAGCATATGAATATAACATAGAGGACCACAAATTCACAGGTACTTGTAGTAATAACAATGTACGACTTGCATCACGTAACATCATGCTGAACACTATTTGCATATATCTCCACTCATCCTAGCTCACATATTGTATTAGATTATATTCCAAGTGTAAGCCTTAAGTAAGCCATAATTCATATTAAAAAATGTATCATATTTTTTAAAAATGAATGAAGTTTAATATTTAGGCTTATCTTTAGTCCTGCCTAATATATGATGACTGTCAGAGCATAGAATTTCCCTTGGATAAATAAAAGAATGTAAAATATATGGTTGAAGAGATAACCTGTGCTAGAGTTGTTCAGCGCCCATTGCAATACTATAGTTTGTTTTACATTCTCTCGGTGACATTTAGTAAACTGCTTTATACTTGCACAACTTATGTTCGATAGTCATTGCACTGTATTGCAAAGAACACATTTTGTTGTTCTTGTGTGAAATATATTAAACAATCAATTTGCTCAGTATGTTGTGGGGATTTAAGTCATGCTTACCTGAGTCATTTTGCTTAGTTAATGCACTCTGTATCTCAGAAAATTGTCAGCATATGTCAGCCTGCCTCAGCTGGTAGCACTCTCGCCTTTGAGCCAGAAGGTAATGAGTTCAAGACATACATCGGAACTTGAAACGCTGACACTCCAATGCAGTGCTGTGGGGTGTGTTGCATTATTGGAGGTATCGTTTTTTGGATGAATCACTAAATCAAGATCTTGTCTGCCTATCCGAGTGGATGTTAAAGATCTATGCAAAAAGAGAAGGGAGTTTATCCCAATGTCTTGGCCAATAATTCCCCAAATAAAATTGGTCATTCACCCCATGACTGTGCATTAGGGTCTATGCTTATCTAATTTGAGTTTGCTTGGTCATCACCAAAATTAAAACTGAATTTGCCACAATTTTCACACTCCAAAATATTAAGAAAGCAATCTATCCAGTCACGTGCAAAAGCTCTCTTCTCAATTATTGCTAAATTGAAAGATTTTAGTGAAGTCCCCTAGGCTCGATACAATATTTGTGGATTTGAAATGTTCCTGTTTTGTAGATCACTTTCATCCGATTCTTTCTTATCAAATTTATGTGGAGCATATAGCATATTGAATCGCATTGAAGGAAACCAAATAGCCATATAAATATTCAGTACCTCATGAATATTTTTATTGATTTGGTGACAGATCACAGACATTTGTACTTGGTTTCTTTATTGTCCCTTACAGACCATAAGCCACCAACATTTGACACTCCACATGTGTTCAGTGGAATTCCAGTTACTGAACTTACTAACATAGAGGACAACAAACCAACAGGTACTTGTAGTAATACCTGTGGCATGGGTGTCAATACTCATAATGTTATGCTGAAGCTTTTTATAAGCACCACTGCTCCTCCCAACTTTTGTGTTTTTTCAATGATCCACACCCATGTTTCTGATCACACTAAACCCTTGCTTGAGATGATCAATTTGCCGCATGCTTCTGTTTCACAGAATTGTGGTTGAATTTTCAGTCTCCTATCTTTTGTGTCACATCTCTTGCTAAAGCAATGTGCTGGCTGTCAATGCACAGACAAAAGATAATGCAAAAGTTACAATTTGGCTGAACAGTCAGAACTGTGCATCACCTACTCTGCTTTTTACTTCTACATCTATGTGGGGTAGTTAGTACATTTATGTGTCTTGCATGGAGCCCATTCATTAATCTTGAACAAACACATCGACATAATGACTCATAATTTATTAGAACCATTGTTTGTTTACTGTGGTTACTTTGTTGTCCACACAGACCATAAAGGGCCAACAGTTGAGACTATTTATGGGTTAAGCGGGATATAATTATCTGAACTTGATAACATAGAGGACAGCAAATCTACAAGTACTTGCAGAAATACATGGGGAGTGAATAGCAACATTGTGAGATTATGTCAAGTTATTTGTAACCATCTCTACTATTTAATAAAGCCTGTTTTACACCTGTTCTAAGTATATTGGATGATGGCTGTCTTGCAAGGAGTATTCAATATTTTTGTGTATTGAGCCATTCATTTGCTCTCATACTATGTATCTGGTGAAGTTTGGAATAGGCTGTAAAAGATATATTTTTTAATCCGTATAACTAGGTCTTTAATGAGAATTGGGTCATTTTCCTCAAGTGGTTTTGTGACATCAATGTGTACGACACTTGTCACATGTGAAGTGTATCAGATGGTATTGAATTGAGCAAGCCAAACATTGGCATAACACCTCATAGATACCAATACCACCAGCGATTTGGTTTCTTTGTCCTTTACAGGCCATAAGCTGCCAACTGTTGACACTCCACATGTGTTCAGTGGAAGCTCAGCATCTGAACTCGATAAACTAGAGGACAACAAATCCACAGGTAGTTGCAGTAAAACCTATGACATGAGGGTCCATAAACATCATTTGGCATTACACAGAAACTATTTATAAGCTTATTTCCTCATCCCAGCTTTTGTGTTCGTAAATTGTCTGCACCCATATTTCTGTTTGAAGCATATGCCTTTTTTTACATGATTTATTTATTATCCCAGTTGCTGTGTTGATTGATTAATTATAGTGTACTTTTCTGTCTTATCTTTTATACTAGATATCCAGATTAAGCAAAATGCTGTTAGAGAACAACATTTTGCTTCTTTGCAGCCAAAAGGTAATGAAAAAGCATAGAGTTTCTCGGCAGTGATACAAACTTGTGACAGTGGTCATATAACCTTAGATGCCTTGCTATGGATAGATAACCTCTGTCACGAGTTATACATTGGCATAAACCATTGATTTAGTAACAGATCACAGGGTTTGCATTTGGTTTCTTTGTTGTCTGTTACAGACCATAAGTTGACAACTGCTGACACTCCACTTATGTTCAGTGGAGCTCCAGTATCTGAACTTGATAACATACAGGACCACAAATTGACAGGTACTTGCTGTAATACCTGTGGCTTGGTTGCCAAAAGCATCACGCAATGTTATGCTGAAACCTTTTATAAGCACCACTGCTCATTCCAGCTCACACTGTTCAATCACTTGCCCTCATGTGACTGTTCACAATATGTATCTTGCTTTACACGGTGAATCCATCACGTACCTCTGTACTATAGTTCAGTCTTATCTTTCGTGCTGCCTCTGCATATCGAGGCTGTCTCTGCATATCAAAGCTGCTTTTTAATGCACAGACAGAACTTAGTGCAAAAGTTCTTACAGTAATTGACTGAAGTGATACCCATGTCTGTCAGAGCTGTGACACATCACATACATGTCATTTAGATGCTGTTCTACATTTTCTCAGTTGCATGCAGCGTACTCTGCTTCACACCAGGTTGAAGTAAATAGAATATTTAGCACACTGCATGCATGCAGCCTATAAATGTAAATCGTTTTTGCATTCATTTCTCCTGTGTGAAAATACTAGTATGATGTCTCAGAATTCTTAAAATCACGATTGATTTATTGAGAAATCAATGGGATTTGTGTTTGGTTTGCTTGTTATCCCTTACAGACAATAAAGCATCAACAACTGACTCCACTTATGTACTCAGTGGAATCTCAGCAAAGGAGTTTGATAACATAGGAGACAGGAAACCTATAGGTACTCACAGTCATACATAAAAATATGTTACAGTATTGATAAGCGCCTCTGGTTATCGACTCACACACCTCATGTGTTAGACAATATCCTGTGCTCACATTTCTGTTCCAGTTATGCTTCTAGCCTTATATATTTATTCCCTAGTTCTGTTCTAAAGAATTGAAGTTTCACCTTTTTTTGCTGCCTGCCCATAATGAAGCAAAATGCTGACTGTTAAAGTACAGGGCGAAATGTTGGGCAAGTTTCCTTCCTGCACATGCTTCTGTTTACCTAGCGGTAAATAGAAACCCAGTTGTTAGTCGATTGGCAGATCGTTTTTCTGGGAGTAATAATACCTTCAAAAAAGAATAATAATAAATGGGTCACTTCAATCCATGACTGTTTGTGGGACACTGCTGTGCGCAATTGGCTGCTACGTTTTGCCCACAAAATATACAGTCAATTTACTTTACTGTAATTTCTGTGAGGCGCTTTGAGACATCTCAAAGACGTGATAAGACGCTATGTCAAACGCAAGGATTATTATTATTATTTAACTTAGATACCAACAAGTGGTAATACAAAGGAAGCTTTTTGTTTGACGCGAAACCAACCTTGATAGAGTTATGTACCACCATAGATTATGTGTTTAAATTTTCTGTTACATTTACACACAACATTGTTATGGAATGGAAACATTACTGATTTGTTAAATGTCTGGCATGAGCCATTTCTTAACGTGCTTCTGTGGAGAATAGTGAAAGGTACAGAAATTTAGCGATACAAATATTGGCATTATACTTCAGCATTATCATTCCCCCTATTTAGTGAGAAATTACAGAGATTTGTATTTGGTTTCTTTATTGTACATTGCAGACCATAAGCCGCCAACTGCTGGCATGCCACATATGTTCAGTGGAGCTCCAGTAACTGAACTTGATCCCATAGAAGACAACAAACTAATAGGTACTCATGGTAATACCTGTGGCATGGGTGCCTGTTATTCAATCATTTACACTTGTGTTCTTGCTCACAGTATGTATCTTGCTTCATTTTTTGTTTTGGTCCCTGACACAAGCAGAAACCCATCACAATGCTTAAGAGTACCCAAACCAGATGGAGAGTTCCATCGAAACATGTGTCCAGGACAGAGTACATGCTTTCTTTCTGAGGGGACACACCACACTTAACTAATTTCAGAGAGCATTGGGCGCAGGTTGGCATGATCCGAGCCTTAGGAAACTCTAGAGTGCGCATTACCTCGCCAGAGATGCTGTGCTGTATTCTCTGTTACATATAGTAAACCCTGCTTTAGATTTATGGAACTATTAAATGGGTCGATACATTAGGGGAAAATTCCAGTGAGCCATATGTTCAGCTCCTTTTGGAGATACCCGATTTTAATTGGAAACCCCATAAGTGGCTGATCCAGCCAAAGGCAAGGTGTGTGTCACTTTCCAAAATTTTTCCCCGACCATTTCTTCCATAGGTCCCCTTTATTGTCCCATTGATCATTGAATGAAAACATGGATATCACATCCCAAAATTCTCATTATTAACTTAATGAGAAATCATCATGATTCGTATTTGGTTTCTTAGTTACCTTTTACACATTGTAAAGGGCCAACAGCTAACACTCCTTATGTGTTAAATAGAGCCTCAATTTCTTATCTTGATAATGATAATAATAATAATCCTTGCATTTGATATAGCGCTTTTCACGTCTTCTAGACGTCCCAAAGTGCTTCACAGAATATACTGTAAAGTGAATTGGCTGTATATTTGTGGGCGAACGCGACAGCCAATTGCGCACAGCAATGTCCCACAAACAGTCGTGGATTGAAAATTACCAATTTATTATTGTTTTGTTTTTTTGGAGGGATTATTATTAGGCATGAATTGAATTGAACTCGGGTCTCTCGCTTGCACTGAGGACAGGAATTCTGCAGTACACGCAGTAATTCATAGGGATTGACTACTCCTATCATGTAAGATTATGTTAAAGTATTTACGGTGTATCTATTTATAAGTGCTGTTTCTCAACTTGTGTATTAGTTAATAATTTGCACTCATGTTTCTGTTCCAAGTGTGCATCTAGTTTTCCATTACGTATTTATTACATAATTCTATTCTAAAAAATAGATTAACATTTGAATAATGTTTAGTCTTTTTTTTCTTGCCTGCCTGTACTGAAACAAAATGATGAACTGTTGGAGGCCAGTAGTTCACTTGGATATAGATACAAGGTAATGTAAAAAGGTATAATTTAGCTGTAATCTCAAGAAAAGATACCAATCCATGCAAGGGCTGTGCAGCACGTATTGAGAGAGATTCTGTGCTCCCTTTTCTCAGGTAAAGTCTGATTTTCACTTGCACAAAGTAATTTGGATAGTCAATACCTTGTTTGGGAGAATCTCTTGCTTTGGTGCTTAGTGATCAAGTTTCTCATGGATTTTAAAGACACGTTTCTGTGCTTTTGTCAAAATACTGTGTATCTTGTGAAGCTTTGTACCATGTCGTGAAGAGTTCACATTATGTCTTTTATGGGAATAACTCTACAGAAATTATATCTGAGACATTAATGTGTCAGGTACTTTTCACAAGTGAAACATATTGGATGGTATTGAATTGAACAAGGCAAACATTGCCAAACGTTATCAATACCACAATTGATTTATTGAGAGATCACAAGGTTTTGTGTTTGGTTTCTTTGTCCTTTACAGGCCGTAAACTGCCAACTGCTGACACTCCACATGTGTTCAGTGGAAGCTCAGCATCAGGACTTGATAAACTAGAGGACAACAAATCCACAGGTACTTGCAGTAAAACCTATGACATGAGGGTCGACCCATAATGTCATATAGCATTACACTGAAACTATTTATAAGCTTCTTTCCTCATCCTAGTTTATGTCTGATTCAATCACTTGCATCCATAATTGCTGTTCATAGCATATCTCCTGTTTTCACATTATAAATTTAATACACCTACTCCATTAACAAGTCAACTTAAGTTATAGTCTTTTGAGCTAAAACACTAACTGTTAAGAGCACATTGTTTTACTTCTATACAAGTAAAATGCAAAAGATACAATTTAGGGTAAGTGATACAAACTTGTCTCAGAGGTCGCCTGCCCATAGATGCCATGAGATTGTTCAGTAATTTCTTCCACATTAAACATTGACGTAATCCCTCATAATTATCAATAAAGCGTGTTTGTGATCTCAGATATTTTCTTGATTCATTTCATGTACTTACAAGTTTAATCGTAAATTGGTAACTGTTGCTACTGTATATACCTGACAACATAGAGGATAGCAGATTCACAGTGTTTCAGTTAAGCCTATTGATTGGGATGCATAGTCATGTAACAATGTGCCAAAGACATTTTATAAGTATCTCAACTCATTTCATCTCATTCATTCATCAATAGTCTGTTCCTGTTCCAAGTATTCATCTTTGTACTGTTGCACATTTTTGTTCGAACAAATAGTTTAATGTCCAGTCTTAACTTTTTTCATATTCAAGTGATGAATGCTATAGCACAGTACTTAAGCTAACGGCAATGCAAAAGATATTTTGTGTGCATGCACAATTTGGCTGAAATCTGGCGATTTGGTTCTATCGCAACTTGTGATAGAACTATGCAGCACCAATTGCTACTGATTTTGCGCTACATGTTTACAGTCACATTTAGTGATCACTGCTTTACAATAATGTAAAAAATATCGGATAATCAATGCACTGTCTTGCATGGAGTATATGCATTGCTCTTGTGTGAAATATATCAAGTAATCAATTTGTTGAGAATCTTGTGACTCTTAAGGGCCTTGCTCATCTAGATTGCTTATCTTGGTCAACATGCTGTGCAGCATACTGTGGAGTACTGTAACTCAGTGGCTCGAGCACTTGCAAGCGAGAGACCTGGGTTCGATTCCCGGCAGGGCGAAACGTTGGGCAAGTTTTCTTACTCCACACGCCTTTGTTTACTTAGCAGTAAGTAGGAAGCCGCTTCTTAGTTGATTGGCGGATCGCTTTTCCGGGGATAATAATCCCTTCAAAGAAAGAATACTAATAATAGTAATTTGGTCACTCAATACACAACTGTTTGTGGACACTGTCATGCGCAATTGGCTGCCGCGTTTCGCCCACAAAATATACAGTTAATTCATTTTACAGTATATTCTGTGAAGCACTATGAGACATCTCGAAGACGTGATAAGGCCGCTATGTCAAATGCAAGGATTATTATTATTATTTTATGGAGCTTGTTAGTGGGCTCCAAAAGACATCTTTTGTGATCCATACAATGCCTTACATAGGAATTAAGACAATATACTGTTGTGATAACTATAGTATTAATGTGCAGGACATAGCTACAAATGCTACATTCACCAGATGTCACTTCGTGAATTATTTTGCACTATCTAAATTGTATTGGTTAGTCACTGCACTGCATCTGCATGGAATTTCATTATGTTTTCATGAAATGTATTACATGGTAAATATATTTCATGGATTTTCATTGTTGTGCCTGTTTTATGTATGAATGGTCAGGGACTGAGCTTATATAAAATCCATTGTTGGGCCAATATTTGTTTTATGGAGCTTAGATATTCCTTTTGCACGCAGTGTCTATCATGTTATCATTGCTATGCTTATGTCACATGTATTGGATGATCAATACATTGTGTCTTGTATGCCTTTCTGTGGATCCTGCAATTGGCTTATTGTCCATTCAGAGCATTTTAATTTAAAGTCCACAAAAATCCATACAATATTTGTGCAGTTTGAAACATTGTTCGTTGTCTCCTGCCATCTCATTCATTTATTATTAAGCTTCTGTGCATCATATTGAAATGTATGAAATGGAGCAGCATAAATATTGTCATAACGCCTCATCATTATCAATTCCTCTATTGATCTAGTGAGAGATCACAGAGATTTGTGTTTGGTTTCTTTGTTGTCCATTACAGACCATAAGCCGCCAACTGCTAACACTCCACAAGTGTTCAGTGGAATCGCAGTTTCTGAACTTGATAACCTTGAGGGCAACAAATCAACAGGTACTTGCAGTAATACCTATGGTGTGAGCTGAATAGAGCCATGTAACAGTATGCAAAAAAATATTATAAGTATCTTTATTCAAGCCCTGATGGTGTGTTATTCAACAGTCTGCGTTCAACTTTCTGTTATTAACATGTGTCTTGTTTTGTATATTTATTTGATACATATCTGGAATGGCAGTTCAATCTACTGTACCATTTATGCTGCCTATTCCTAATGAAGTGTTAGAGCACAAGATTTCAATTAGACACGGGAAAAATATGATGAAAAATACGTAAGTTGCCTTTGTGATTAACTAGCAGAGAGGAGATAGAGGTATGTGAGGCATTTTTCCACACCAGGGAATATCTCATTGTTTTATCTTCAGAAAAGATCGGGGAGAAATTCCAACTGAGTCTTAAAAGACTATGTGGAAAAGCAGCTTTAAAATTAAGGATGTATTTGAAAAATTGCCAAATTCTAAATGTTCTAAAATGCTACATAAACAAAAGTAAATTTAGACCAGTTGGAATTTCGTGTTTATAATGTTATAATGTTACATTTCACAAAGTCTCAATGAATGTTTTTTCAACTCGTGGGCTGAAGTATTGACAACCAGTGACAGTGGCTTGTAATTTAGCTACCGATAAATTCTGGCAAATTCAGCAATCACTGTTGTAGATTTATCCAAGTTAATATACCGAGGCTACAATAAGATCCATTCATTGCTCCTGTGTTTTGGTCAGTTTCCTGCCTATCACAAGGATGTTAATGGTCATATATCCAAGTTGCATCGCTTTGTGAATTGCTTTATGATGTGCATCATATGAAGCTTGAATCTTGGCTGCAAGATATCTACAGTATTTTATGATCCATAATATTTTTATTTTATGGAAATTAAAGCATGTTGTTGAAGTGACAATCTGTGCCAGCAATCTGTAGGGTATTTGCAATGAATGTTATGGCACATTATCTTAGTTTCATTTGGTACATACTTGTGCACTTATGTAAAGTGTGTCGGTTGGCCACTGCATTGTGGTTTGCATGGAGTCTCATTGCTCTTGCATGCAATGCATTAGATGGGCAATATGCCGTGTAACTCATCGGTTTTAATTATACTTGCTTGTGTTGCACCACTTTGCAAATAATTGATACGTTATTGATTTTGTAGAATTTAGAGAGACTGTTTAGTTTATACAATATATAACTTGGCCATTTAGTGTGCCTTTCGTTGAGCATAAATATTTCTTTCCTCTGAAGTGCTTGTGGTTTGAGGGATATTGAATGATACTGAATTGACAATCACTCGTGAAGTTCATAGTTGCACGAAATGCATTGCCTTACGACTCGACTGTGTTCGTGCAAAATGAAACAATAGGGCCAAATTCTATCCTGGACAATATATTGTATGAGAGCTGGCAAAACACGTAAGTAACATGTTCATGTTTTGAGATCACCGAGGTTTGCATTTGGTTTCTCTGTTATCCTTACAGACCTTGAGCGGTTAACTTCTGACACTATACAAGTGTTCAGACCATCCCATGTATCTCAGCTTGGTAGCACTGGGGGAAAGAAGCGCACAGGTACTCCCCCCAAAATACCTACAGCATGGGTTTTAATATCATTGCCTAACATTAAAGAGCTGTTCATAAGCAAACATTGCTTCACTCTTAATATATTAATATTGTGTTAATATATTAATTATTAATCTGTAGTCAAATGTCTGTTTCTAAGTTCGTGCATTGCATTATATGTTATATTGCACTATGTAATATTGAGTAAATGTTCAAGGACATTTATTCCTTGAATGTGTTCTCATAAGGATTTGAATTATTTACTACTCACTGTTTCATTTCGCCACATTTTACCCTGGTATAAATAGAAGGCGATGTGCGAGCTCTGTTGTATCCGTGGAATAATTTAACGCAATCTGCTGCATGTCATGACACAAGTGACTATATGAAACTGCCAATTATTTCAAGAATGCAACGAATACATGTGTGCATGTTGTGGATGAGCATCATTGAGGCTTTTACATCCTTTAAACAATAATTGGAGTGGTATCAACCTATGTCACTAAATATGTGAGGTACACGGTATTGATACTTACTGCTATTCCATGTTTAAATGCAATCAGTGTGCTGCTGTGCAGTTGTATAAAATGTGCTTAGTCAATGGAATGTGTCTTGCTTTAAGTTCATTTGCTTCTGTGTACCATATGGTTAATGCAATGTGTATGTCTAGGGATTTAGGTGTTACACTAGCCTGGATTTTATCAGTTTGCCTACATTCTGCATGTTGTCTGGAGTTGAAGTATTGCCTCACCCAAGTGTGTGTGCTCAAAAATGTTTAAGATTGACGCTTACATGAAATGTTTTGCTCAGTCAATGCATTGCATATTGCTTGGAGTTCATTCAGCAATCTCATATAAAGTTAATTCATTGGTCACTACATACACATTGTTTCCCCCTTCAAAATTGTGCTGTTGCATGAAATGTGTTTAACAATGTATTCAAGAAACCAATTTTGACTATTTTGTTTCAAATGGGAAATGGACTCTAAACCAACATTTATTTTTGTTCCCAACTTTCCTGCCTTGGTCTCACAATGGATTTGAATGTTCCTCTGAACTTTATTTTCCTTTACTTTCTTTCATAGGCACAGATCCGATGGCAGACCCTTTATCAAAGCCAAAGTCTGATGCCAAGTGGAATATTTTAGGTATGATGAATAACGTAACATAACATAGCGCATGAGGAGTGCTTTAAGATTGGGGATGTAAAGTTGCATAACAAATTCCTGTGTATGGGTTTTGTGGAGATATGGCTGTGGCCTCCATCCAATGGAAATGGCCTTACATTTCCACTTGTTCTGAGTAGAATTGAAATACAAAGGAAATTGGGTCATTTTGAGAGTGACTTATGTGCTGTGTATGTACAACTCTTTGGAACAGCATAAGGCAAGGTTCAATAGCAGGATGCACCAAGGATCTTGAACCTTGAATCTTCCTCTCAAAAGACAACATGAGCAAGCAAACTTATTATTATTATTATGACATGCAATGGTGTGGCTCTGTTTGAAAGGGTTCTGGCTGCAACGTTGTGTTAATCTTACCATTGCACTTGGCTTCACCTGCTCGAAGATTCTTCCCACCTGCAAAGCAGACATTTTAAAGGGCAAGTGATCCCTCGGTAATGCACTGGAGTATCAGCGTAGATTATCACAAGACAGGCTCAGAGGAAGAAGACCCTTGGCCAATTTGGTTTCATCTTTCCAGAACACCTGGATTTCCCCTGAGATAAAGAAATGCTTTCTCTGGTGTCTGTCCTGAAATTTTCCTTCACAAGCCTGAAACTGTAGCGTCTTGTTTTACTGCCTTGAAAATATTTCCTCTGCAAAATCATATCTGTAGTTCTTAAACCAACAACGTTTTGAGCCAGAGGCAAGAGATACTGATTCATTCTGAATGATATATAAAAGGTATTATCCTTTATGACCGGAATATTTGAGTGCAAAATGTGGTTTAGGAATTAAGTCCTGGAATCACAGTGGGCTCTTGAATCTTGTGCTGCTTTTGTACTGCCAGAAGCAAAGCCCAGTTTATGTTTATTACTTGACATCATACTAAATTGAGGCTGAACCTTCCCCCCCGCCTGACCCAAACAATAACATTAAAGTTCCTGTACAGTCCGTTGGTACAGACCTCATTGGAGCCAGACTAGGGCGATTCAAGCCTGCGATGTTTAAATTGTAGCGGGTGCAAACCGCGGCTTGTCCCTGCCAAGAGTGCCGTGTAAACGCGTCATAAATCTCTGGTAGATTGGAATGTTCCATTACCTTTTATTGCTCCTCCAGTTTTGCCTCCGGTTTTCTCCCCTGAAGTGTGGTCCCACAGCTCCTGATGGCAGCCCTCCAGTATCTTGTCCAGATGGCTATACATGAGCCTAGGTTAAGCAGGGAATTCCAGCATGGTCTTTCATCATGAGGGTCATTGCAGGCGAGCCTTGTTCAGTCATCACCTGACGTTCAGGCAATGCATACCCAACATATGTTGTGCGCAATTGGCTGCTGTGTTTCAAGTGAATTGACTGTATATTTTGTGGGCAAAACACAGCAGCATATTTACAGTATTTTCTGGAAGCTCTTTGAGATGTCTCGAAGATGTGATAAGGCACTATATCAAATGCAAGGATTATTGTTATTATATACACAACACTCGTGCACATCACACACACACACACACTTCTGTTTTTACTTGATCGCAATCAGTAGCAGGAACTCTGATCGTTTTTTTTCCCCAGGTACTGATGACAGAATTGTAATGGGTAAAGCAGTGTGTTAGATCACATCCAGAGCTGTTTCATACTTGTATACGTGGAATAACACTTAGCCATCACACTTTATCCGGCACTAATTTATCTGTAACATCTGGCCAATGTGCTCTTTCTTGCATGTGGAGTTTAATTATGGTGATTTACGATGTACTCGGGACTGTTGGGTGCGTGGCTTATTCGGTATGCATCCATGAAGAATTGTCTTTCCCCTTAAGATTAATCAATGTATTTGCTGGAAGTGTGCTGCCTGGTTCAGAGTTCTAAGCTGCAAGTGCCGTTTATTCAGTGTGCTTGGAAAAAGCACGTTGTTTGGCCAGTGTGCTCTCTCCAGAGTTTAATCTTTTCAATTGGATATTGTTTCTTCTTCTGTGGCTTGCATTGAATTTTCCAGTTGACATTCTTCCAAACTCCAGGCTGAAGCAGGGAGCTTGGTAGCAATGGAGGTCAAGAAGAGGGGGGGGGGACCAGATATAAATGCAACATTAATTGAGACTGTATTTGAAGTGACTTTGGAGCTGATTAATATGTCAACTCCTCCAAATTTGAACTTCAAACAGCAAAGTTTGTAAGTGCAGACATTGCTTTTGCTGGGTAATGAGGGATTGGAACTCATGTATTACCATTGTACAGCCATGTGCATTTCAGTCCCCGGGGTCTCAATGATCGCTGTTTTAGAGGGGAAATATGCAGTCGTTTCCTGAAACAGCCATCAGCTGAGGCTAACTCTTGAACTCGTGACCTCTTATATTGTAGCTTAATGCTTTACATCTAGACTTAAAACTATTATTGTTAATAGCTTTCAAACATTGGATTGTGTCTTAACCCAGCAACCTTATGCAAACAGACTGATTTCTTAATGGGTAGGGTGTAGGGTGAATAATATGGCGTGTGATGTGATCACACTAAGGAACATCCCATTTCTGGAGATAACTACTGCAAGACTCATTGCATGTTCAGTTAAACCAATGTTAATGGTCCCTGTATTTCATAAAGCACCTGTAATGTTGGAATGTCTCAAAGCGCTTCATGGGGAAATGCCATCAAGGGTAGTAATTGTAGGCAAATGCAGCAGCCAATTTGCACACAGCTTGGCTGTCACATAAACAGCCATGGAATGAATGACCAATTTATAGGTAGGATTATTAGCAAATCACAAGGGAAACTCTTCTTTTCATGGATACTGCCATAGGATCTTTAATGTCAACTTGAAAAAGCAGCATTCTCCGAGCCAGTACTGAAGTGTTGGGAATCCCCACGGAGCCAGGATCAAAGGGGCTGTGAGCTTTTTTGAAACTCTTAGCCTGGACTCACTAGGACCACTACACTGTCCTGCCCCATGACCCACGCCAGCCGGCTGACCATGCCTCGCTAACCTGCCTGTCCGCTCTTAGTCTCGGCGTACGCATTTTGGCTGCGGCCACCGACCTGAGCTGCTTCTCCCAAAAATGCTCCCGCACCTGTCTTTTGACAGCTGGCTGTCAGGCAAAAAGCATTTCAACACAATCCGGGGAGGGGAGAAAGCGATGTTCAGCGATTGTAACAATCTGCCTCACAGCATGGTTCATGGACATAAGTACCTTGGTTTCTCTTTAATGCAGAATGCAATGGGCCAGTGTAATGTTCTGAGCAAAATATAACGGTGGTTGTACTAGTGCTGATGTCATAATTTTTTTTAAAAAAACAAGATACTCCATGTTTCAGTTCATATATTTCTGCATTTGACAACCAAAGGCGTTTACAATGCAATACAAATTTACATTTACATATGGCCTTTCACATCTGGAAGATGTCCCAAAGCGCTTAACAATTCTAGCTTGGCATTTGAGCTGAGAGTGGGAGTTATGGCAGGAATTACAGCAGAGAAGGCCAGTCAACTCATCCCATTGAACTTGTGTCAGCTATCTGCAAGAGCTAGAGTGGAGTCCTGTAGCTCAGTGGTTAGGGCACTCCCTCGCAAACAAGAGACCTGGGAACACTTTTTTGGGGTAATAATTCCTTTAAAAAAAATTGGTCGCTGAATTCATGACTGTTTGTGGGACACTGCTGTGTACAATTGACTGCCTTGTTTCGGCCACAAAATATAGTCAATTCGCTTTACAGTATATCCTGTGAAGTGCTTTGAGATGTCTCGAAGACGTGATAAGATGCTATATCAAATTATTATTATTATAGCTATCCGCTTAATGCCTTTCTCTTAACAAACTATCATGAATACACTTCAAATGCATCAGCAATAGCATTACCCAGAAAGAAGGGGGTGGGCAATTCTCTGTAAATTACAACAAGAGTCTACCAGTCGTGGGAGAATCATTTCCTACTTATTGAAAGATGAAAAATAACTTCTTCCAGGCAGCATTGTGTGTGTTGTGTGTGGGTGTGGAAGGAAGAGGGTGTTTGATGGTAAGAGGCAATGTAAAAGCAATGTTTATAAAGCTAAAGCTCAATAAGAGAGGAACATGTCATTCCATAACCTGGAAAGAGAAGCGTTTGGAGTTGCTCGAGAACCCTGGTTCTAGAGAGTCATTCTCTGTTAGACACAAATGTAGAGTGAACACTATCTCTTTGTGTAAGGACATCTCCACCTCCAGCACGAGCCACAAAGATAGATCTAAAATGAGGGTTACCCCAGGATAGTTTCTGTAGCAAAACAACTAATCGTCCAATTGCCAGAGCAGCTGCAACACTTTAAGGCCAAGCAGATGATCAGCTAAGCCTGAAACATACTGGAGGCCAAGATGAGAGAGGAACATGTCACTCCATAACCTGTAAAGAAAGAACTAACAAGGCAGAGAGAAGCAACAGTCAATTCCATGGAAACCTTTCAGTCCAGTTAATGAACTAACACTGTTGTTAAACCCAGAAATCAAAGGTTGTGAGATCAAGGCTAAGAGAAGGTTGCAGCTTGATACTAAGGAGAGAGGTGATGGGCAAGTGTAGAGTCAGGCCTGAAGCTTCAAATGCAACAGGAATCAATCTGTAGATAGCCAGGGAAGTTGAAGATTATGCTCATCATGGAGGAAGTGTCTGCAATGAACTATGTCTGGTAAATAATAATTCCTTTCCCAAGGGGCCCAAATACTATGATCACTTCCAGTACTGTTTAAATGGAGAATATTTGGATGTCACTGGCTGAGACCCACCAGTGTCTCACTAGTTGTCTCCTCCTTACAACATGTGAAGGTGTAAGAAGCCAACAATTGTCTGCACTATATATCATGGAACTGCAGACATACATCAGCAATAGCACAATTGTCATTTCGATAAACTGATTCAAACTCCTACGTCGGGAGTTTGAATCACAGTCGGGCTGACCCTCCAATTCAGTCGTGGGGGAGCACCGCATTGTCAGCAGTGCTGTCCTTTGGATGAGACTTTAAACTGAGGTCCTGTCTGAATGTTTGCACAGGAGGAATTAATGATCCTATGATGCTATTCAAAGAGGAAGGGAGTTTATCCCTGTATCCTGGTCAGCAACTCCCCCTGAGAGAAAAAGAAATGGTGATTCATTTCATGGCTGTTTGTGGAATATTGCTGTATACAAATTGGCTGTTGCATTCACCCACAAATACACGGTCACTCATGCTTAAAAAAAAAACCTCTGTGACGTTCTTTGCGACATTTCAACATTATAAGGTGCTATATCAAATGCAAGGAGGATGATTATTACTATTATTACATTTGAAAAAGGAAGGTAGATCCTCCTGCAGCCTGGCCAACAATCTGCCAAATAAAATTGGTCATTCACAAATTGTCTGCCACTACACTACACCTAGTCACTACACTGAACTTGTAACATGTTTTTAGATGTTTTGATATTACAAAAATACAAAGATAGTTATTTACATCAAATACACGTGGGACAGGTTACAGGCAAGGACTCCAAAGTCTTTAAAAACTCTAAGAGTAATACTATACATGTGCAAACACATACGCAAATGCGTGATGCAATGTCTCCAGTGCATGTGCAGGAAACCAGAGGCCCAGTGTGTGCACTGAGTATGGCCAACACAAACAAGCAGTGTTATTTAATGTGCCTCAGGCATGGTAGCCAGGTAAGTTAACAAAAACATTTCACTGTGAAGGAGAGGAAGCTGGTTTGGATTGTTTCTGGCCTTTACTCCCTTCCTCTTCAGTACTCTCTGACATATGGCTTGGTTAACAACGATAGAACCATAGAACTTTACAGCAAAGAAGAAGATCATTTGGCCCATCATGCTCATTCTTTGAACAAGTGATCCATTTGTTCCCATTTTACCCACTTTTCCCCATACCTCTGCAGGTTTTTCAAATATTCAATTTGATTTTCCAGTTTATCCACATCTATCCCAAATGGTTGGGGATTGAAATGACAATACAGCTGATGGTGATGTGCAGTCTGAGATCTGAATATGTTGTAAAATGCTTTGTATTCTATATATAGACAAGAGTATAATTGATAAAAACGTGATGTTTGCCTTTATTTTAAGGCTCTTTTATTATTATTAGTAGTAGTAGTAGTATTATCATCAATAAGTCACCTTTAATTATTAATAATAATTGTGCCTAATTATTATTATTAATAAATGAACTTCATGCAACTTTTTTTTCATATTTTTAGCTAGGTTTTGTCCCCTAGAGCAATTCCAAACTACAGCTGCCAACGATCATTTGCTTTGTTTCTGATGAGTAGAGACTTGTTGTAACATAATTGCTGCAAATCTGTCAAACAATAATACCCATTGTTTGCCAGGAAAAGTAATGAACCTCAGAGAAAAAGGAACCATTTAGATGTAATGACTAATAACATTTATTTTGATATCACTGACACTCTACAGAAAATTAAACCATTTTTCTTCTCTAGCTTTGTAATGCAGGAGATTAAATTGTGCATCAGTTTGGCTCTGTCTGTAGCCTTCTCGCCTCTGGGTCAAAAGGTTGTAAGTTCAAACCCCATGTCGGGGTTTGAGTTCATAATCAGGATACTCTAGTGGAGTACTGGGGGAGCATGGCTTTGTTGGAGTTTCTGTCTTTCAGAAGATCCTGGTCTTTTCGTTTGGATGAGTGTTAAAGATCCCTTGACACTATTGATTGTTTGTTCATCCCATAGCTATTTGTGGGATCCAGCTGGCTAAATATTCTTCCAGAACCAGCCACTCTAGTTGATAATTATTTCCTGTAAAGTGCTTTCAGATATTTCAAATGATAAGTCATCAGAAACGTTCATGTTGTTTCTCTCCTGGTGAAATTTTAAGTGGTGATTTTGTGATGCATGGCTTTCTTCCATGTCGCTGTCTATCACTCACACTTTGAAAGGACAAAGTGTTTAAATTCCCCCAAATCATCCTTATAGCATTCCGGCATGAATTACAGAGAAAAAAACTAGCTGGAACAGGTTGAGGACTCGCCTCTTGAAGTAAAAAAAAGTATGGGTTGCGATAATTTTAACATCCCTTTGAGTAGTTTTTTTTCTTTTTTAAAGAAAATTGCCCAAAAAATACACAGTCAATTCACTTTACAGAATATTCTGACATCATAAGGTACTATATCAAATGCAAGGAATATTATTTTTTTGCTAGAAAATGAAAGTTTTTCTCAGACACCAATGATGTACAAACTTTCCTATCATAAAGATTCCACCACTATTGAACCAATTTGGTTAATCTTTGAAATGGGTATCAGCTTGGTTCTCTTTTGACTGTAGGTCAGAAAATAATGGCTTGAAACCTCACATTGGGATGTTAAGATCCAGTCTAAGGTGATGCTCAATGAGGTACTGGGGGAGCCCTGCAAGATTGAAATTGACAATTTGACACTTTCATAGAATTCCTAAAGGGTCTATAAATGTGGCCAATATTTATGTTGAAGCCAAAGTGGAGTATTTTAATTAATTTATTTATTGAGGAAAGGACTGTATCCCGGTTTTGAAACCTTGGGGAGGAATATTATATGGAATGTGGAATTTCTAATGGGATTCCTTAATAATTGTTAGAACTCTGGCCAAAACATTGCTCCGCAAGATTGTGTTAGTTTGGTTTGGTGTACATACTTTTAAGATGATAGGAATGGTCTGGATGAAGAAGGCCCTTCAGCCCATCCCACCTCATCTCTCCCAAAAACCCACCCTACCATGCTCTCATCACAGCATCAAGCTCCTTTTTGAAATGAATCCAGTGTCCTGGCCTCCACCACCTTTCATAGCATCTGTTCCAGTCGTTGAAATACTTCTGGTAAAGAAAAATGTCCTGGTCTCTGTCTTGAAATTACCTTTTACAACTCTAAACTTATGTCCTTTTGTTCTTCTGTCTTATTGCATCCTAAAGTAATGATCTGCATTCACTTTTTCAATTCCATTTAAAATGTTATGCCTCTTTGAGGTCCCGTCTGTAAACCTGGCAATGGGTTTCCGCATGTGTCAGACACACAGCTGGCCATAGAAAAATCGATAGTTTCAGAGCAGAATTCCCATGGGTAGGTGTGAAGGTTACCAATTGACTTGAGGGAGTCCCCATTTGTATTCCTTATAAAGGAAGCCCAACATATGCAAATGAGGATTCCCTCAAGTCAATTTATAAAGGAATCCTTTTAGAAATCACATGCTGTTGGCCTCAAGGATGATGGGTTTTCAATTCCAACAGCTATTTCTCTCACACTCTTCACGCCTTACGTGTATGCTGGCTGGAGATCAACAATACCACTTCTGATTTATAAACTAGCCTTTTTAAAAAAAAATAATGATGAAAGTCTCACACTCACACTATGGATTAGAAAAATGTAGTTCTACACATTCGGAAACATCTCAGAATCATAGTCTTAATTTAACAGCAAAACGGGGGCCTTTTTAGATGTTTCAACAGTTTGTCACCAACAAATTCGTCGGCCAAGTGTCCTGAACCAAATGGACTGTGGAGAATCTCAACTTGTAACATAAAAACCCTATTGCCACACCAAAATGTAGCACAATGTGGGCAGTAGTTGAAAGTAACATCATAGCTAAATGTACTCTGTAGCTTTTCTTTATAATGTTCAGTGGAATCATGAAGAAAATATTTGTTTCCAACAAAGTATCTCAATAATTGAAACAACAATGTGAATCCGTCTAATTTGGGATATTCGCAAAACAGCCAATTGTAGTTTCCTGAAAAAAACATTGAAATATGTAAACTAAAGTCCGGGAAACAAAGGGTTCCTATTTCTGCTCATTACTAGAGTCCCACTGTTGTAAAATGTTTGATTCCACACACTGGGAGAGGACAGGATCATCTGCAACTTGTCATGCACTGGGAATCTGAATACCCTGCTGTCCAGATGTAGATGTAATAAATATTTACTCGGCCAAGGTACCCACTTGAGAGCTATCAGCCCCCATCCACATTAATCCAGTATGAATCGCTTCCTTCAGGAAATGGAGGGAAGCAAATTATCAAGNAAAAAAATTGGTAACTACTGACATGCAGAATCTGCCGACTTCTTTTTCAATATTGTCTATGGACCAAGGTTACAACCGGCAAAAGCACCCTGTAGTACCAGGAAGTTATATATGGAGAAGGAACTGGAAAGTTGGATTAATAAAAAAAAGTGTAGATTTAGAAAAACAGGTGGCAACGGCACAAACACATTGGCCCAAATTGCTGCCTTCAGTGCAGAATAGTTCTTTCTATAGGCTAAAATTTGTAGTATTTTCTTCTAAATCTGTTTCTTGCATTAATAAATGGGTTAAGTTTATGTATCAGTCTAGCTCAGTTGGTAGCCTCTGAGTCAGAACTTGGGCTCACGTTAGAACTTTGAGCTTGTAGTCTCGGCTAACACACTCCACCACAGTGCAAGAGAAGTGCTGCATTGTCAGACTTGCCTTTCTTTGGATGAGATGTTAAACAAAACAGATGACCCACCTGCCGTTCAGGCAGACATTAAAAATCTTGTAGCGCTATTGAAGAGAAGAGTGAGTTTTTTTTTCCCTGATGTCCTGGGCAGTGATCCCCCAGATAAAATTGGTTGCTCACTTCATGGCTGTTTGTGGGACATTGCTGCGCTCAAATTAGCTCTATTTTTTTTACAATATTTGAGCCAATGTCTTGAAGTGAAAGTCATATCAAAGGCAACAATTATTATTATCAAATTCTGTGAAGTGCCTGGAGACATCCTCCTGACATGAAGGACCTGTAATAAATGGAAGGATTATTATTAGCTAACATTATTAAGACACACCCAGCCTCCAATGCCTGCTTACCGGTGAAAGAAAATTCAAGAAAGAAATTTATATTGTTACCCAGCTGTAACTCTATAAAGGAGCTTTAACTCAGAAATTCCCTTATCCTGAGAAACAACCATAAATTTTACTCCTGTGTGCCTGCTGTTCACAACTGTTTTCTCTCCTATGCAGAACCTTCAGCTGATGTTCAGTCCAGCACTAGTTCCAATCCACTTTCTGAAAAGGATGCCACTGGTAAGTAATGATTTATTGCTATTTGCAACAAGAGTATCACATATGCAGCTGTTTTCTTGAAAGGTCAATAAGTACACGTGTGAGTACAACAGCAATATGAGTTTTGAAGGTTCATTTCCTGTGAACTTATCAAAGTGAGTGATGACAAAAACTGTATCGGGTTTGCATGCTAACATTGACATGATCATGGACACACATTCTAAGTTAGAAACCATGCAAATTTCTCTGCGTTTTTCCTTGGCTGTGATATTTGTCAATATTATAATGGAATTGCATGTATAAAAAGGTCACTGCAAATTTCTGTGCTCAAGAACTACACTGAATCTCAGTAGAATTAAATTACCATTCCACAGATGCGTTCCAATTCTTCTTTACTCATGAGACAGAATATCACTAGTCACTTTATGTCTGCATTATTCAAAAGTTGAGTCTCCTGTCAGCAGTGGGAGTCAGTTTCAGTGCGTTCGCACAAAAATTCAAAACAGACTTTCAAGGAGCTTGTTATTTTCATGCATTTAACAGTAATAATCCATGCATTTGATATAGCACTTTTCACGTCTTCTAGATATTTCAACGTGCTTCACAGAATATACTGTGAAGTGAACTTACTGCATATTTCTGGGTGAAACGTGGCAGCTAATTGAGCACAGCCGTGTCCTACAAACAGTTGTGGATGAAGTGACCAATTTTATTATTGTTTTTTTTCTTGAGGCATTGTTACCAGGTGGGTGGAGTGAGGAAACTTGCCCAAGGTTTCGCCCTTCGGCAAGTTTCCCTTGGGAAAATTTAAGTGTTTAAATTGAACGAGTGAAGCTCGAACGCTTTCTGAATAAATGTTAGCACTGCTAACTTGTAAGGATTTCGTGGTGAACCAGCCAGAGAACCACTCTAACTCATTTGTGTGGAATGTCATGACTTAAATAGCATTTACCTATCGTAGCAAAACAGAGTGAACTTTCCAGCTTCAAGTTCAGATCATCTTCTCCATGGTTGGCTCCTCTTTAATATCATCCAGAATTCCTTGGCCAATATTCAGAATTCCTGCCATATTCCACTTACCAATAAACCCAGATGCAAACTCAGTGCTACCACGTGATTTGAAAGTGTCTCAATTAACAACTAGTTTCATTGTGCTATCCAGTGTCGGTAGGTTCTTATGCACCGTTTCTGACTCGGTGAGTTACTAATTTCAGCTGAGCTATCATAGAGGTGCTGAACAGATGATGTTCTCTCTTATACAAGGTATAATAAGAATTTTTTTAAAAAATGCATTCCCTAGCATTTATCTTTAATGTTCTTCTGTCAATTTGAGGGTCTAATAATAATACTTGCCTTCACCTTATCGCCTCATTGAAACATCTCAAAGAGCTTCATAGAATATACTGTAAAGTGAACTGACTGTATAGTTTGTGGGTACAAACAATAGCCCTTGAATTTTCTGTTAGTGCACTGCCAATGATGTACTAATGCATCTTTATCTTTATTCTGTTTTCTCTTCCTGTCTTCACAGGACTGGCGACTGAGACAACTAATCTAAATATGTTTACTGAGCACAATGAAGTTGGTGAGTCATCACTCAGTAAAGCAAAATTGTAACAAATCTAGTGGTTTACCTGAAAGCTCTTGAAGGAACATGCGCAATTAGAGTGATCAATAATGCGGTCATTCGATCAGCTCATCGTGATTAAGCACCCCCGGGATGCTACCCCTTGTGAAGGGCGCTATATAAATGCAAGTTGTTGTTGCTGTGATAAGCAATGACTCTTTCAAAATGAGCTGTTCTTTGGAAATAGTGCCATCAAAGCAAGGTGTTGACAGAAGCCATGGGAGTTGTGTGGGTGAAATCTAAATTTTAATTTATTCATAAGTCTTAACATTTTTAGTTGTCTGACAGAATCCAGTACATCACTCGTATCCAAGATCTGTAGTCTCCTCAGCTGAGTTGTTAACTTAGCACAAAAAAAATGAAGGGGAAATTAGATGATTATTAGAACATGGAAAATCTTGCCACAAGCAGATGTTGGAGCTAAATTCATACCATTTAAAAGAAAATTGGTTCAATATTTGAAGAATAATAATGTAAAAAGGAAATGGGGGGGAAAAAGCAGGAAAATGGGAATAAACGATTCCGCTAAAGCAGTTATAATAATAATAATAATTTTTTCATATGATATAGCACCTTATCAAAGATAGGTCAAAAGTAAAGACCCAATGGATGAAATAGCCTCCTATTTCTAAAGATTGTGTGATTCTATTTGGCTTGGAAAGGTAATCAGATGCTACTTAGTGCTAATATGTTTGCTGGACCCATAGGCTAAAGAATTCTCATGCACAATATTCATACAACCAATAAGTTATTTATATGCTTTTAAAAAAGCTTTCTTTTAAATCTGTTGCAGAAAATACAACTGTCTTGAGTTCGACCCCAATATCTGAGATTGATTCTCTGGGCAAAGAGAGATATACTGGTAGAGTATTCTTATTATTATCTATGAAAGTTTGAATCCAAAAAAGTGTCAACAAATCATGAAGGAACAGTAAGGATCTGATGAACGTTTTGGCTGAGAAAGTTGAAGGACAACAGTTACAGGACTCAGTGATCCAACCAGTAAATTTTTACCTTGTCCTTTCACTCAAGAAGTTGGGTTCAAATCTAGTGCATAATGAAAAAATGAAACACTCCTTTTCCTCTCTATCTCTTTCTCTGTCTCCAGGAGTTCTTCAGAGGTCATGGTTATGGCATGTTGGCCTCTCAAAATATAATAACACAATATTATTATAACGCGTTTCCATTTCCCAGCACAGACGCAGCACAAAAACAAATCACTATACAATAGACAATGAATACTGATCAGTCACCATTTGCAATGTTGCATCAGTGCATGCTGGGCAGGATCGTACGCTGATTATTAGTTTGACGCCAACATCACTTCCTTCTTCCAGTGTCTTGCACAAAGTGACCTGACATCCTGGAGGGCAGCCATTTGGTTAGCATGAGAACTAAAAGGGCCAACTACCAGATCACTGACTTGTTATTGCTCTGTTCCTCCCTTTTCTTTTTTTTACAGGTCCTCACGTGAAGTATTTTGGCAAGGATCCAAACGTGCCTTGCTCTATTAACGAAGCCTTGAAATATTTTGTCAACAAGAACCATACAAATGTCAAAGTCACGACAGCTCCTCGCTACCCCCCCACCAATGTGACCATTCTGACCGTTGAAGGCTGTTCGACCTTTGTGATTGTGGTCTGGGAGAAGAACGATAATGATTCAGCTACTGGTAATTCTTAGTCAACAACTCGTCCCCTTACTGACATTCTTTGTGTTCCCATCTTTCTTTCCTTCCTTCCTTCTGCTCTCATGTATATTTTAAAGCGCTTTTACAGCTTGGCTCAATTTCGGGTCTCTCTCGCCTCTAGGTCAGAAGGCCCACGTCGGGATTTTGAGATCACAGTCTAGGCCTAAACTCTCGTGCAAAAGTGGAGGAGTGTTGCCATGTTGGAGAAGTCCTCCTTCAAATGAGTCACTGAATCAGGGTCCTGATTGCCTTTTTAAATCAACGTGAAAGATGACACTATTCAAAAGAGAAAAGAGTCCTAGCCAATAATACTCCAAATAAATTGATAATAATAATACCCCTTGCATTTGATATAGAGCCTTATCACATCTTCGAGACGTCTCAAAGTTCATCACAGAATATACTGTAAAGTGAACTGACGGTATATTTTGAACATGAGTTATTGCTTGTTTGTGGGACCTTGCTGTGGGCAAATTGGAAGCCATATTTGGCAACAAATACAGTCATTTGACAGCAATTGCTGGTGACACCCTTTTTTAGTTGATGGGTATTCAATGCTTTATTGATTCATTATTATTTATTGTAGTATTTTAGAATATTTATCATTTTCTGAAACCTGTCGAGGTAATTGGAATTTCTGAAAAATTCTCAGACGTGAAAATCAAGTAATGTAATATTGGTGCAATGTCCTATACTTTTATTGCTCAGTCTGGCCTAGTTATTACTCAAATGTATTGAAATTAAACTTGCCAGGGTTCAGTGCGTGAAGTCTTATACTGTTTTTACACTGTGCTTTTAGCCGTTAGCTGAATATGCCATAAAATTCACAGAGGTTTGCATACTTGCTTTAACTTACAAAATGATAAATATTCTAAAATACTACAACAACTAATAATGAATCAATAAAGCATTGAATGCCTATCAAATTTAAAAAAAAGGTGTCACTAGCAATTGTTGTCAAATTTGTTGGCAAATATGGCTGTTAATTTGCCCACAGCTTACTTTCCACTGCAGAGCTGCAGGAGAGCTCCATTCTTTTGGAGGTGCTGGCCTTCAGATGAGATGTTAAAACCAAGGTCCTATCAGCCTGTTCAGCTGGATGTTAAAGATCCCATGGCACTATTCAAAAAGAGAAGGGAGTTCTACAAAATACACAGTCACTTTGCTATACAGTACATTTTCAGACATCCTCTGGATGTTAACGGTGCTTTTATCAAACCACAATTATTTTATTTGTTTCATCCCTCATAGTATAAGATCAATTACTGTCAATGTTACCACACTTTCCTCTGCTAAGATGTCTTTACATTTCTCTCTTCCAGAATTTGAACTAGTATCCACAGCATTAGGACCAGACAATGAAACTGAAAAAATTGTTACCGTTACCAATCAAACTCACATTACAGTGGAAAACCTCTCACCAAATACAAGGTAAAAATACACATTATTTCTTCCGACTACAAGTAACATGACATGTTTCTATGGTTCTATGTCACATGCTTTGGAGAAAGCAACCTCTTGTGATTCAAGTGTGTGAGAGAATGCTGTTTGTGGGAAATTGCTGTTTGCGAAGTGGCTGCCATATTAACCTACAGAATAGTCACTACCCCTTACAGTAAATCTTGTGAATTACTTTGAGGTGGCCTCCTGACGTAAAATATTATATTCAGCCTCAGTTTCTACAATAGAGCTCACCAAGGATGAAGATGTCCCTTTACGCATTGATACAATATAATACAATACAAAATTACATTTGTTTAGCGCCTTTCACTTCGGGAGGACGACCCAAAGGGCTGATCTCATCCTTCCAGAATACAACAACAGCAACTTGCACTTATATAGCACCCCTCACGCAGGTTAGCGTCCCAGAGCACTTGAAATACCCATCTGTCCATCCTCCCATTGCAGATTTAATCTGTTTTTCAACTGAGTCTAGCATTCTGGGCTTAACCAAGACTTTCTGGTAACCCATTCCAGTATTTAGTTACTGTCTGGGTAAATACGTATTGCCTTGAAAATGCCCTGTGTAAACCTGAACCTGTGCCCTCTTGTTCTGCGGCCCGAGTGTTACCGAAAGCTTTGTTACACTTAAAACAATCCAGTGGTGCCCTGTGATTGATGATTGGTGGTAATGAAATATTCTGAACCCCGTGTGGAGAAGTAAAGTGGAATCATGATTTGAAAAACATTGACAAGCATGCAGCTAGCAGATTAAAATGTACGTTAGAAAAATAAATGCCTGCAGCTCTGCGATGGATCCATCTGGGAGGATGTGATGGAATTAAAACTTGAGTTTTAAACCGGAGATTCCCCACATGGTCATTTGAGATGTCGGCTTCAATCATGTAGATGGGTACTGGGCTGAGGCAAGATGCATCTCCCGAAGGAGCCAGGGATAATACAAAGAGCATGTTGGCTCAGGTCCCTCGCATCCATCCACTGCTGCCTGGTTATCAAGGAGCATTGATGGGGTTTTATCCGCCCGCTCAAGCATCCAAAAGCAGGGGGAAAAAATGCATGAAAGGATGGGAAACAAATCATAAGAACAAATTCCAGGAGAAGGTTTGAATTGCAGTTAGTGAAAGGAAAAAAAATACAGTCACTCTGGGATAAAGCAGATTTAATAATCACAGATTGTCAAAATTATTAGATACATTGCAGACCACTGCTCCAGAGAGTACATCTCATACTGCTAGTCCTAGATTTATGCCATATTCCCATTACAAAGTAGGTCATCATATGGAGGGATAATCCATATGTTTCATTTATCATACTAGAAGATAACATATAATTCCCCTTTTAAAAGAACCAAACCCAATTGCTGATCTCAGTTACATTGCTGTGAAGTATTTTCAGATGTCCAGCTAAACGCTTGCATTTTTTTGTTCAGTTTTAACCTCGTTGCAGCCTCCCAACCTCTGGCTTGTATCAAATGCCTATTAACTCTTATTAATGTAAAGTAAATAATTTTGTGCGTCTGAAAAATTATCCGTAACTATTTTGTGCTGTAAAGTAAGCACCCAAATAGATGGGGGCTCAATGGCTTGCTTACATTACTATTGTAGTGGAAATTGGCTCTTTCCTGAATTGGTAAAATGAATGAATATATGCAGCAATAATAATAATAATGATTACAAAACTGTACAGCATGGAAATGTGTAGCACACAGCACCAAACCATGCCGTGCTCATATTCTGCAGGACTCTTCACCAAATCATATTCCTTATATTTCTCCCACAAAATATACAGTCAATTCACTTTACAGTATGTTTTGCGAAGCTCTTTGAGACATCTAGAAGACATGAAAAGCACTATATCAAATGCAAGGATTATTATTATTGCATTTGCTATAGCACCTTTCATGTTGGAATGACTCCTCAAAACATTCAAAGGATTTATTGTAAGGTGTAGTGACTATGTATTTTGAAACACCCCCCCCTCTCTGAGCTACCTCTGATGACCGCCCACCAGTTTCTAATTCAGGAAGCCAGCGCAGCAATATATACAAGGTATGATTAGCAAAAAAAACAAAAGTGGGGTGGAGGCAGGGGAGGTTTCAACTGAGTCTGTAAATGATGTAAATAAAACAAAGAAAAGTCTCCATCCCCCAAGAGTTCATGGAAGAGTTACTCTTCCTTCTCCCCCCGCCACCCACCCATCATGGACACTAGTATAGTGAGAAAAAGGAAGTCCCTTGTTGCTCCTTCAACCCACATTGAAAACCAATGTCTTGTCCTCTAGTGGCTATAGTGAGGATGTTGGTGATTGAAAAATAATTGTAATAAATAATAGAGCTGAAATAGTGGAGAAATTATTTGCTGAGGGTGAGCCTGCGCTGGGGTGTTCTTCAGTAACTCATGTCTCCATCAGGTAGCTTCTCCTCCCCAATCTATACATCTGTGCATCCACGGATGCACGCTCCACCTCACCAAGCCAGTCAGGAACCTGGGCATCTTGTTTGAGCCTCAACTGTCTTCTTCCCCGAAATCCGTGCCATGATCCGCTCTGCCTTCCCCAACCACCGCAACATTGCCCAACTCCGCCACTGCCTCACCCCTCAGGCCGCCAAAACCTTCGTCAACTCAAGGCTCAACTATGGAAATTCCCTCCTTGTTGGCCTCCCCAACTCTTCCTTCCACAAGCTGCAGATCATCTAGAACTCTGCATCTTGTGTGTTCTCCTGCATCAGGCTCCGTGACCCCAACACCCCCACCCTCACCCAGCTCCACTGGCTCCCCAGCCCTCAGAGAGTAGAATTCAAAATCCTCACCTTCACGGCCCTCCACAGCCTTACCCCCTTCTACATCTCTGACCAGCTGACCCCCCTAGCAACCTGTCCCTCCCTCCACTCAGCAGGTTCTAGCCTGTTCCAGATCTCCCGCCCGACCATTGGCAGCCGGGCCTTCAGCCTCTCTGTCCTTAACCTTTGTAACTCCATCCCACAATCCCTTCGCATCGCTCTCTCCCTTGCCTCCTTCAAGACATAACTCAAGACCCTCATTTTCGACTGTTTTTAGCCGTCCTCCTACCTCTCTACCCTCCCTCACCCCAACCCTACCGCCCCCACACTCGGGTCTTGATCCCCGACTGTTCAGCTCCTTGGGACATTCTCCCGACATGAAAGGCGCTTTACAAATGTAATTTTGTTGTTGTTGTATACACAATGTCACAAAATGGGGCAAGCAAATGAGGAAATTCATATAGAGAAGGGTTGAGTGAAATTGATGTTGGGATGCACCAATGGACAGAGAAAAAGGAAGACTCTAGGGAATCAATGTGCAGGATGGGGTGGCATAATGTGAGCAGCAATGGGTAGATTTTCAGAGTTTGGAGCGAACTTACAATGACCCAGAACTTCCTAGATTATGTCTCCTTTCAGAAGAAATTATATTTTCTGTCTACTATATATAGATCTCAATAAAACAAAACTTGGCCATTGCTCTATCCACTTACTGTCTAGTTATATATAGATGAGAATTTTAAGTCATCTACAAAAAGCCTTTGGAGAAACTATCAATTTATAACAACTTGTAAGAGAGAAGTAGATAATTATTTGGGAAGAACATGTTTGCAGGGCTATGGGGAGAAAGCGGGGAGTGGGATTGATTTGGATAGCTCTTTTCAAAGAGCTGCACAGACACGATGGGCCAAATGGCCTCCTTCTGTGCTGTAGAATTCTATGGTGGTTCTGTGGTTTATATCTGTATAATGATTTCTCCCATAATAAATATGTAGCAAGAAGTTTGCTATTTTTATATTTTTAGCAAAAAACTTTGCCGACTCTTTCAATTTGAGATTAATGGGTTGGGTCGAGTTCAGGACAAAGCATATTGGATATTGGCTGTGCAATGTGTATTTGTGTTCCATTAGTGAACTAAACTAGGAAGGGATAGACCACGTACATTTGCAAAGTCTCTGGAAGATTTGAGACACCGATGTCTGAAGCAGAGCAAACCCCAACAGTGAATCTCTTACATTGGTTTACTGTTCTCTAACAACTATCCATCTGAGAAATACAAAATGATCAGAAAACGAGGGTTGCAACCAATAAAATGAAGTTTGCAACGTGTGTATGGGCACTGGGACACCGCTTGCATTGTAGGATTGCGGGTCACTCAACGTAATGTTATAGTACAATAATAAATTGGTCACTTCAATCTACAACTGTTTGTGGAACACTGCTGTGCGCAATTGGCTGCCGAGTTTCTCCCACAAATATATTTATACAGTCAATTCACTTTATAATATATTCTGTGAGGCATTGAGACGTCTCGAAGACGTGATAAGATGCTATATCAAATGCAAGGATTATTATTATTATATAGTTTCAGTCTCCATGCTTGTCTTTCTTTTACCTGGCCTGTGTCAGCAAAGGCAGAAGGACACAGTCATAGAGAGTGTGGTGCTAACCACGAGGACACTATTAAGGACACCATAGGGGGTACAGTTTTGTCATGGCTTTAGAGGGATCCTCAGCCTACACTAACCAAATGCCTCATTCAGGTCAAGAAAGGATAATTGAAGCCTGTGGACTTTCAACCAACATGTAAAGTCTTCCATTCACCAGCCTCCCATAAAAACAAACAACAATAATAATAACCCCATAATAAAAACAACAGATTTGTATTAACCCAGACAATCCTGGTGGGGGACAGATCTCTTTCTCTCTGAGCTCAACACAACCGAGCACAGCCGTGAGGCTGATTTCTGCTGTCAGATCGTAAATTGCATAAAAGAAATATAAAAGTTAAGTCTTTACTTACTCTCGGCAACAATAATATAAAACAAATGCAACATTGGAAACAGATAAGTATATACACCAACAGACTGAGATATAACTACAGAACTTACTAAGGTTAGTAAATTAAAAAACTATTTTGACTTGGAGGTCATCCTTCTCAAGACAGGCACAAACCTATTTTGGGCAAAAAACCAGAGACCTTGAGCCAAGCCCCTCCTTATATAGTCATCTGGTTCCTCCCGTTAAACAAAGTATCAGCTTAGTTTTTTTCCCCGCCCTAAGTATCACGTGGTCCATCCCACAAATGTACCTGTCTATCTCGGCAGCTCCCAGACTCCATGTCTTCAGTTTGTCAGGTTAAAACCTCAAACCCTCTTGAAAGGGACAGACATCCCCAAACATCTGAATTATTAATGTTATTATCTACATGGAGTCCTGTAGCTCAGTGGTTAGAGCACTCACTTTCCAAGCGAGAGACTTGGGTTTGATTTCTGGCACGGCGAAACCTTGAGCAGGTTTCCTTCTCCACAGGCCTAATAATAATCCCTAAAGAAAAAAAAATAATAAATTGGTTATTTCTATCCACGGCTGATTGTGGGATACTGCTGTGCGCAATTGGCTACCGAATTTCGCCCACAAAATATACAATCAATTATTTACAGTATATTCTGTGAAGCGCTTTGAGACGTCTCAACAACATGATAAGGTGCTAAATCATATGCGGGAAATGAGATTAAGAGATCTAGCACGATCTAATAAATTGGCCGAGAAGGCTTGATGGGCTAAGGAGCAATTGTTGTTGTTGTCATGTTACAATGCGTATTACAGCGTGTACACAACCTCAGTTGTGCTACAGCCATGTTATATCCTCATTATCTTGGAGGGCGATATTTCTTTAAGTATTTCTTAATTAAGATATCTAAGTGGGGAATTCTTCTAGTAACGGTCGACACAAAATACACAAAGATCAAACCACTTTACAGTATAACCTATGAAGCGCTTTGAGACATTTTTGATAGCGTGATAAGGCGCTATATACAATGCAAAAATTATTATATTTCAAGTACAGTAAGAATAATACTCCTTGCATTTGATATAATGCCTTATTGTGTCTTCGAGATGTCTCAAAGTGCTTCACAAAATGTACCGTAAAGTAAATTGACTGTATATTTTGTGGACGAAACACGGCATCCAATAACGTACAGCAGTGTTCCACAACAGTCGTGCATTGAGACCAAATTATTTCAATTATTTTTCAAGGGATTATAACCACCAAAAAAGCGATCCACCAATTGATTAACATCCCGGTTCCTACTTATTGCTAGTTAAACAGAGATAAGTGGAGTAAAGAAACTTACTTAAGGTTTTGTCCTGCCCGGGAATCGAACCCGAGTCGTTTCGCTTGCGAGGCGAGTGCTCTAACCACTAAGCTACAGAACTCCACTCCAATACACACATTAGTCCTGCCAAAGAGAAATCCTGCTCTGAAAGCAGATTGAAACTGGAGCTACATTTGTTAATCTGCGTCACCGATTTAAATTCTTGAAAAACGCTGCAAAATTCGACACCTCAATTGTGTATCGGTGGTTTATTGACAGTCAGTCAAAATACTCCACACTGAATCATTTCCATTTCAATTGCTTCAACAAAGCTGATTGTTGAAGCAAATATTTCAATACACAATACACAGTTCGATTATTCTCTGCTCGGTGAGAACTGGCACACATATATTGTTTGAAAACTCCCCACTTATGCCAATGTTCCATTTCAATAAAATGTGTTATTGATATCTCATTCCAGCACAAGGGAATCCCAAAACATGGACAGAGTTAAAAACAACTGACTGTTTGGTATAAATGCTGCGTTCTTGTGGAAATAAAAATACACAGAACGAGCCATAAATCAATTTGATTTTAAAAAATAATCCTGTGTGTTCCTTGGTGGCTTCGTTGGGTTGTCTGTAAAGAGTTGGCTCTGAAACCCAGAGACAGTGAGAGAGAAAAAACACGTCTGAACAGTTTGGCAGAATAGTGAATAAAATGAACAGAGATAATATGATATTAACAGGATTGTGCACTAAAGTTTGACTGATCTACTAAAATATATTTACGAACCTTTAAGGTTCTGGATTCAAATACCACCACTATTGATAGTCTCTGAAAGTCTTTCTCAGTTGGGAACCTGCTGTTGTGGTGAGCAGCCTCTGTATAGCACTCATTGCACAGCTCAATGGTTTACATCTTTTTCAGATTAGACTAGTTTTACCCTGAAAGCATGTTGTGAAAACTTGAAAGGAGAGCTTTGCGATCAGGCTGGATATTAAAACATTTACATTAATAATGTTTCCAGTGACAGACATAGGTTTCTGGCTCCGATTTTCCTGTTGGTAGTTACCACATCTGTTGCTATGGTTTTAAACCCATTGACAGCAATAAAACTATTCTTACCGCTAAACTTTGCAACGTTCCCCCTGTGTTTTGAGTCAGTTATAGGATGCTGCCATTGGGTTTAAGAGTATAGGAAAGACCATTCAACCCATAAAATTTTCATAAAACACTAGACCTATCCTAGATCTTACCATCTTCAACTATCTCCTAAGTATTGCTGACAAACACTAGAGATAAACCGGTCTTGTCCCTAAAATGTTAACTAAAATCTCTTCATGGACCATCTCTGGATAACAATCTGAAACTGTGCATTAAAAACATCCGTTTAAAGTTTTTCCACTTTTCCTCTCAATTGACCAGCCTTCCCACTTGTAGCCTGTAGGAAGTGAAGGAAAGTGAGAAAAATGTCTGCTGTGTTAAAGATATTTGCATAGTTACACAGAACAATACTAAACAAGCAAAGATTACATGGAGCGTTACGGCACGCAAACAGGCCATTCACCCCAACCAGGTGTTTATATTCCACATGAGCCTCCCCCCCCCCCCCCCCCATCCGATTCTCCTTTTCTGGACCATTTTTTTTGTAACTTTGTTTTATTAATCCCACTTTCCTGCCTTTTCCCCATATCCCTTAATGTTTTTACTAGTCAGGGGTTATCCAGTTCCCTTCTGAATAATTCTGTTAATCCAACCTTAATACTTGGAGTAGTGAATGATGTGCTACTATGCTTTTGAACACTGCTGCTGTGTACATTACACAACATTGATTTATTTTTAGGGTTCAGTTATTGAGTTTCACCAATAATTCTGAGATTCTTGGCTTTCAAATCCTTTGACGCTAGGATTTGTGGTAACAGCAACTGGGTTACATTGTGGTAATAGGAACTGGATTACGTTGTGGTAATAGGAACTGGATTATGTTGTGGTAATAGGAACTGGGTTATGCTGTGGTAATAGGATTAGGTTTTTTTTTTCTCCACACACCTCTGTTTATCTGGCAGTAAGTAGGAACTCGGTTGTTACTTGATTGGTGGTCGCTTTTCTGGGGGTAATAATCCCTTCAAAAAAAAAAAAATTTTTTTAAATAATTTTTTAGTGACTCAATCCATGACTTTGTTGGGACATTGCCTGTGAGAAATTGGCTGCTTTGTTTCACTCACAAAATGTACAGTCAATTCACTTTACAGTGTACTCTGTGAAGCGTTTTGAGACATCTCGAAGACGTGATAAGGCGCTATATCAAATGCAAGGATTATTATTACGTTTTAGGTTACCTGCAGAATTCTGACAGTGGTGCAGCTTCAGTGAAGTGGAAAAGGTCCTGGGTTCGATGGGTTAAGTAAATTACAATTATTTCTTATATATTAGGAGATCTGCTGACAGTGTTTTCTATTTAACAGCTACGTGTTCCTTGTGAAGCCCAAAAACCGACTAGGAGTGGGTCCACCCAGTGAACCAGTTCCTTTTGTTACAGAATCAGGTAAGTGAATATTTCTGTTGCTTCCTGGCAAAGAATAGTAAAGCATGTAAGTGTATCACAATAATAGGTACTTGTGGAAGCCAGTATCTTATCAAGGGAATACACAATCTGCTTGGGTGCAGAGTGAGAGAGGGAGAAAAGGGGAATTTATTTGGGAAACTGGAATAAATCTGAGTTTAAATATAGCCAAATGTGGAACATCTGCAGTGCTGTTATTTTTTCCTTCCTCAATTAATATGTTCCACTGCAGGACACTTCTTTCCAAATGTTTACCAGCAGTGGAATTTTATGAGAAGTTACTAATTAAATAACGGAGCACTAGTCAAAATAAAACCAACTCCTCCTGTGCCTGCTTTCCAATGTTTACATCTGCATTTCACTGCTCTGATTAGCAAATGTCAGAGCATAGCTGAGATTTCACTCACTGCTATAATATCTTGCCTTGATCTGGATAAAGGGTCCGAAGAATTATGATCCTTGAATGTAACGCTCTCTTTTTGTTAGGTCCTCACAGCGCTATTTCCACGTAACGGAAAAGATCAATATTTTTTAACAATTGGTGTAAAGCAAGACCAAACACTGCCTGCATGATTAGAAGAAGAATCATCCAATGAGAACTAGCATTTACTGGCAGAGGCATTTTTTAGTCTTAATAGTAATCAGAGGCTTCAAATTTCTCGCAGTCTTAATAATAATAATAATCCTTGCATTTGATATAGCGCTTTTCACGTCGGGAGGACGTCCCAAAGCGCTTCACAGAACACACTGTAAAGTGAATTGACTGTATATTTGTGGGTGAACGCAGCAGCCAATTGCGCACAGCAATGTCCCACAAACAGTCGTAGATTGAAAATGACCGATTTATTATTGTTTTGTTTTGGAGGGATTATTATTAGGCGTGTGGAATAAGGAAACTTGCCCAAGGTTTCGCCCTGCCTGGAATTGAACTCAGGTCTCTTGCTTGCAAAGCGAGTGCTCTAACCACTGAGCTACAGGACTCCACGAGTCTTAGTTTAAGAGAATTTTGGACTTAAAGGTTACGAGAATTTTTAGCCCATTTAGTAACATCCTTCCAGAATACCATGCTTCCATTTTTCCCATTGTATGTTAATTTGAAAACAGGGGAAAATAGGGACATGATGACACCATTCTGCCCATCGAGCCTGTTCCTCCAGTTTATTACATCATCCTAGATTTTTAATCCTATTTCCCTGTCTTCTCCATACTGCTTAATACTGTACACCAAAGCTGCACACAATATTAAATTACTTTACAGATTTGCTCTATTGCATTGTTTCTGGTAAATCCAATGTCATTATCCACACAAAAAAAAACACAATACTGCAGATGCTGGAAATCTGAAAACAAAAAACAGAAGTCGCTGGGAACACTCAGCAGGTCAGGCAGCATCTACGGAGAAAGGAAAGTGAGTCAACATTTCGGGTCCACAAAGGGTCTGACGAAGGATCGTGGACCTGAAACGTTGACTCACTTTCCTTTCTCCATAGATGCTGCCTGACCTGCTGAGTGTTCCCAAACGACTTCTGTTTTTGTCATTTGTCCATTTTTTATATGTGCTTATGTGTGGTGTTTCAAAACAGTATTGACTGCTGAAAAGAGCAGCACAATGGGAGTTATTGTTATCTATGCAATTACTCATTGCATAGATAACAATAACTCCCAATTGCTCTTTTGTTCATCGATCTTCCCAGTGCAGGACTTTTGTGTATTGTGTATTGAAAGCCAAAAGAGTGATTGGGAGCTAGTGAGAGTTACTAGTGTAAGTTTGGTAGCCTTCTGTTTTTCAGAGACAAACTTTTTTGCTGTATTGGTGTAGGGTTTCAGCATTTTTAACACAGATAACATAAATTTAAAATCACCTTGTCAAGAGATGCAGTCAGATGTAGTTACATTGGGGTTAAAAAAAATGCAACTTTTCACAACGGATCCTTGAAACATCACATTTCCGCCCCACTCCCCCCACCCGTAGCTCTCAATGGTAGCATAAACTTACCACTGCCCTGTTTGTCAATGTGTATTTTGCTTGAACGACCCAAAGGGTTAACTAGCAAACGCTTCCTCAAACCACAGTGGAGACTGGGTTAAATGATAAATAAATCAAAGGTACAGATTCATGTTCTGGTGGCCATTAAATATGCTATAGGATTGAATTTGAAGAATATTGGGGTGAGGCCATGTCCTGGATACAGAGATTCGTTCCCATGAGAAGGTGGCGTACATAGAACTTTAGTCTGGTTTAAGGATGGTGATGGGTTTCCGCATTTGTGTTAGACTCGGCTGACCAACAAAAAAAACAAAGGAGACCCTCCACATTGTCTTTCTTCTCAGTGTGCCCCAACGTGACAATGGGTGTGTGCTCTCATTCAGATGAACTGATGACTATATCTCAAAACACACAGACCTATTAATATAAAGTCTCTCTCTATTTATAATTGCCAATTTTCTAATATTTGTTTCTTATTTTCTTGTCCCCCTTTTAGCTGACCCCAGAGTAAGCGAGTATGTACCAGGTGAGTACCGCAGGCTCTGACAGACCGACGGGAGATGAATATTATTCATATTAAAACCTGCCAAAGCTGGGTTCAGCTGAACAGTGGAGCCAAACATATCAATGAAATATACCTTGTATGCGGTCTCAGTTTAATGTAATGTGGTGAGCCTTAATGCCTTGGAGTCCCACAGAAAAGCTATGTGATGTATATTACATTTCTTCTAATCCAGCATTATTTATACAATACATTTGATACAGTGAGAGGTTATGTTGAAACAGTCACTCATGCCCATTGTACTCGGCTGTAAACTAACTCAGCCAATTCAGAAAGTTAATCGTTCAGTTCTTTACAAATCTGATTATATTTATTGATAAGTATGTTCATTGCTATGAACATTAGTTCAGTTTTTAGATTCTTTTTGTAAAAGCAATTTTTCAGGTGCTATTCTATATTTTAATTGTACTTGCTATTATACTTACATTACAGTTTATTTAATATTAATAGCATATTAAGATATCCACCTCACCTTAGGGTGTCAGCCTGGCTTAATTTGTAGCTCTGAGTCAGAAGGTTGTGGATTCAAGCCCCAGATCAAGATTTTGAACTCATAGTCCAGGTTGCTCTCCAGTACAATGCTAGGGGAGTGCTGTGCTGTCATTCCTTCTGAAGAGACATTAAACAAAGTCCCATCTCTTTGTTCAGGTGAACATTAAAGATCCCAGAAAGGCCACAAGTCTACTTACTATTTGAATATAACTCACCTCAGCTGAGTGAGATGTGTCAGTTCTCAGCTGGTCACCAGATGTAGTATAACAAGACTTTGTAGTGTGGCGTGGGTGGGAAAGAGAAATGTCATTGAGAGGAAAAAGTAGGTAGAATTTCTATTTGTTGCTTTCTAATCACTAGCAGCCGATATAGCGTTAACAGTGACACCCGTTATCGAAATAATAAATGATCCACTTTGGGAGGATGTCTCAAAGCGCTTTACAGGATTTACTTTAAAAAAAGGTAATGGCGAATGCAACAGTCAATTTGCACACAGCAACGTCCCACAAGCAGCCATATAGTGAACGACCAAGGGTTACCTTTTCAAATGAAAGGGTCGTTGTCGATAGCAGGTGAGAATAGGGAAATATTAGAAATTGTCTATTCATTATTAAAAGACACCAGGAGGTACCATTACAACCGAAGCCCCTAGTCCAGATACCTCCCACATATTATTTCAGCCACACATAGAACATAGCAAGTGAACTATAAAGGTCATCCTCCAAATAAGTTGAGGACAACAGCTGATTAAAAGATTTATTGTTGAAAACTTGGAAGATTTTTTTCTTAAATTTGTCTCATTATTTTACAGGGAAAGCTGCCATCTGGTCTCCATACCGTTTTAAGTTTGATTCCTTCTCAGAGTGCCAGGGCAAACAATATGTCAAACGAACCTGGTACCGCAAATTTGTTGGGATCATACTGTGCAACTCGCTGAGGTACAAGATTTACCTCAGTGATAAGCTCTCAGGTAAGATCCAAATCTCAAAACGCCTTGGTCACCCTCCTACCCCCAAACTTCTTGCTCTCCACCCGTCCTGATCCCGCACTGCGAATGGTTTAAAGTGGGTGAGGGGGAAGGAGGCCTCACTAATATCTTAAGAACTTTCTGGATCAGACTCAATTTCGACATTCTGTTCCATCATGGACGGCATTGCAAACATTTTAATGTGATTTATTTTATATTTTATTTTACTCAGATGGTGAGGTGACCCATTTGTGACTCCAGGTGCTGAAACATGTTGTCTCTGGCCTGCTCCACCTCTCCCTGCTCTGCCCGTCCCACCATTGGCAGTTGGGCCTCCAGGGTTTCTGCCCCCACCCTTTGGAACTCCATCCCACAGTCCCTAAGATTCACCCTCCCTCCCTTGCCTCCTTCAAAGCCTGCCTCAGGACCTTCCTCTTTGACCACACCTTGGTCACCCTCCTACCCCCAAACTTCTTGCCCTCCACCCCTCTTGATCCCAACCCCCAGCTCGGGTACACATGCTTGACTGTCCACTGTTGGAGTATAATTTGCACTGTTGGGAGTATAATTTGCAGTGTTCCTTATTTAATGCTGATGTAAACTATCTGCCCAGGGTGGCAGCATACCTCTGCAAGTATCTGGTCTTTCTTTTCAAGGTCCTAACACCTACCTTTTTTTTTTGAAATGTGAGGTAGATGATTTTTCTTTTGTAAATTTCAGGCCCCAAATCGCCCCCCCCATGTCGGGCATCATTATTTCTTTTAAGCGTTACTTATGTTCCAGTGTTTATCTGCTGATGAGGGCCAAACCACACTCTCCTCAACCAAAGCAATAGCTTTTTTATTGTGTGGCCTGCCTGAGGCTTCCGGCTTAGCCCTCGCTAGTGCCAGCCCATTTTAATTGGAAGCTTAACTTTAATAGCCCTGATGAAAGGTTTTGGAGTTTTCAGATAGTAAATCTGTTTGAAATAATCAATAACACTGCTGCTTGTCAATTTGTTTCAGTTGGTATCTGTTCAAAAGGGAGAAGTTCTCAGCAAGTCGTCTGAGGTTTCTCCTTGTTGGGAAAAACAGGATAGCCTGTGGTTCTCTTTGATGTGTATATGGTGAATGTTTCCTACGCTCTCCTTTGTATTGACTAATGCAGTTGGTAATGTATCTTCTCAGTTCAAGATCTTATTAATGGCTATTGATACATACACAGTAATTCCTGGAGATAAACCAAAGAAAATGGCGTTACAACAATACAGGGTTTGTGATATTTCAGTAGCCAGACATTTACTGCACTGCAGGCCTTATTTATTTAAGTTATATCATCGTCTATTCCTCCTGGATTAAGAAACATTTAGAATGGCTGAGACAGGTATTGGATAAGCTTTGTGATTCTGGGCTTAAGGTCAAACCCCAAAAAGTATTTTCTTTTAGAGCTTGGAGTATCTTGAGCATATGATTTTGGCATAGACCCAGCTAAAACTGGTTAAGGTACCAATCCACAACTCTACTTATTCAACGCAACCTTTAGAGTTTCCAACCAATGGAGTCAAACTGTATCAGCTGATAAAGATGACACTCATCTGGACACAACTGCCAGAGATGTTTGAAGCAGGGAAGAAACATTATGGATCACTTCAAGTCTTATCTGTCGAGAGGTTTATCAAGACCATTTAAGCAAGTGCAACCCTTCTACATTTGCAAACTGAATAATAAGTTGAATTATAGCTTCCAATTCTGATGGTGTGAAACCTATTTGACTACAAAATACAGTCACATTGTGTATTACAGTACATCCTACAAAGCGCTTTGAGACGTCTCAACAACGTGATAAGATGCTTTATCATATGCAAGGATTATTAGAATTATTCCAGGGTCAAAATTCCCAGGAAACAAACGTTGGAAGAGTTAATGTCAGTTGGGTAGGGGGCGGGTGGGGGGAAAGTAGCCACATCTTACTTGGAAACCTACAACAAATGGGAAGCAGCATATCCAATCATAGCCTGGCATGTGAGACATCTCAAAGCGCTTCACAGAATATATTGTACTGTAAAGTGCATTGCCTGTATATTCTGTGGGCGAAACACTCACAATGTCTCCTTCACCCTGGTCATGCATCATACCAGCTTCAGCCATCTCCCACCCTATAACTCTGAATAGTACGAGGTAGTTTGAAAAACTTAGACAGAATTCACGGGGGCAAAAATACTTACTTACATATGGTTCAGAGTACATGTCAAGGCCACAACATTTCAGCAAACGTCATTGGTGAAAAGTACAGATTTGTTTTTATGACTAAATACAATATATAAAAGTTGCAAAACAAAAATATCATCTCAGGTATGTATCAAACTATCCTCTTTCTTAAAAGGCTACTGAACTCAATAAGGTTTTTGCAAACAATAGTACATTGTTGGCTAAATAAAAATAAAATAAATAATCACTACTTTCATTGTATCCCTCATGCATATGTAACTAACAAAGTGTAGACAAGTGTAGAGGTGTTTCTAAAGGATAGGGGGATTAAGGTATAAGGGGATAAGGCGGGCAGATGGAGTTAGCTTAGAAGATCAGCCATGATCTTATTGAATGGTGGTTCAGGGACGAGGGGCCGAATGGCCTATTCCTGCTCCTAATTCCTATGTTTCATTAAGTCCCGGCTTGACTATGCCAACTGCCTGCTCACTAAACTTCCCAACTCTTCCCTCCACAAGCTGCAGGCTATTCAGAACTCTGCAGCTTGTGCTCTCTCCCGCACCAGGTGCCAGGAACCAATCACTCACAATCTTGCCCGGCTTCACTGGCTCCTGTTCTTACCCGGCTACACTGGCTCATGGCTCTCCATTCCTCAGAGAATCGAGTATAAAACCCACGTTCTTACCTTCAAAGCCCTCCACAGTCTTGCTCCACCCTACCTCTCCGACCTCATTACCTCATTAATGGGCTGGTAATCTGCAGCCGTTCTTCAGTCTATAATGTATCAATTGTGGATTAAACATATGTAACCGATGAAGTCAGGTAAGGATTTTATTAAAGCCATAATACTGAACTACGGCTTTTGTTTTCATGCAGGGGTATTCTACAACATAGGAGATTTATCAGGACACGGGGAGGATCACTGTCAGTTTGTCGATTCCTTCCTGGATGGCAGAACAGGACATCATCTCCTGTCTGCACAGCTACCAGTTAGACCAGGTGAATTAAATACCAGATTCCCCCACACCCATATAAATAACAGATACTGGAATCAGAATTGCAAATTACGATGTGTGATGAATTATTAAAACCAAGTGCTAATTAAGACATGAGTTCAAAACGCTGCTTCTCTGCCCTCACCCATTGGAACTCCATCCCACAGTCCCTTTGTTTTGCTGCCTCCTTCAAAGCACATCTCAAGACCCTCCTCTTCAATCGCACCTTCAGTCACCCTCCTACCCCTACCCTTTCTCATCCCAACCCTCTGCTCGGGTCCAAATCCCTGACTGTCCAGCGCCTTGGGACATCCTCCCGATGTGAAAGGCACTATACACATGTATTTTTTTGGTGGTGGTGATAATTAACACACCAATTGATTCCTGGATATGCTGGACATGGACCTTTCTGCTTTCAGTACCTTTATCAGCAGTTGATTCCAGAAGCCATCTGTGCTTCAAGGTGGCCTCAAGGCTAGTGGATTGCAGTCGTCTTTTAGAGTGATATTAGATGTTAATTAATTACATTACAGTTTTCTCCTCATTATCTGTTGGAGTTGTTTGTTAGATCATTGGTAAAGCCTCTTTCTGTCCCATGTCTGAAAGACTCACAAGGAATAATCCGCTTGTAAAATCTATGAGAAAGTAGTTGTTTTTCATTCAGTTTGGAAGGTTTATTCGTGGTCAGCCGGGTGGCTGACACATGTGGAAACCCATCACCATGCTTGCGAGTTTGCAAACCAGATTACGAATGTGTGCCATCTACACATGGAAATTCCCTTCATCTGGAAAGGAATGTGCAATCACTATGTTTACCCGATTCCAGATAGTATGAGATGCAGAGCCATGCTCTGGACATCACTTGTATCTGAGTACACAGCCCCTGCAGCAACCTGGTACTCATAAAACATCAACGACAGTATGGAAGTGGTGGTTGTATATTGTGTTTTTCATTAAGGATTGAGGAAGAAAGGCTTCAGAGAATTCATTTTAGTCCTACATTTTGCGCACCTAGCCACTGAGTACAAGACAATAATCTCACAGAGAGGTTGAAATTATATCCTGCACACCTGGGGTGATTCACATCACTTTCACTGACTTCCTCACATCTGTTATTTTTGCACAGTGTTTGATATGCACTGATTTTTCAATTAAAATAGTGCTGTTTTGTGAAAGTTTCTTCCTGTTTCTGGGAGCTTTCCAACCTTGGCAGCGGTCTGAATGATATTCACAGATATCACTGTTTATCAGATGTTAATTCGGAAGTAACTTTTTTATTCTCTGCCCACCCCCCCCCCCTTCCCATTCTGTCAGAAGAGAGGTGGATATTTGGTTATGAGATCTGGAGATTAAAAGAGATTTGAAGCCTGCAATCTCCAGCTAAAACTGGAAACTTGACAGATATAATAATAATCGTTGCATTTGATATAGTGCCGTATCATGTCTTCGAGAAGTTTCGAAGTGCTTCACAGAATATTCTGTAAAGTGAATTGACTGTATATTTTGTGGGCGAAACCCAGCAGTCAATTGCTCACAGCAGTGTCCCACAAACAGTCGTGGATTAAGTGACCAATTTTTTTTAAAGGAATTATTAACCCTGGAAAAGCGATCCGCCCATCGACTAACAACTGGGTTCCTACTTACTGTTAGGTAAACAGAGGAGTGTGGAGTAAGGAAACTTGCCCAATTGCGCTTCAAGAGACTGCCCTGTGTGGAAGATGCTATATAAATACAAGTTGCTGTGGTTATTATGCACTCCCCTACTGTCTATCCTCTAAACTAGATCTATTATAAAAATGATCCTCAGAGCTACCATTTTCTATTTTGGCAGCTGACATAACATTCTGTATAGCTAGTATCAGGTTCCCACTCTGAAACTTGTTCACATTTCTTTCTCAGACCTGGATCATTTGCAGCCTGATCAGCAATGTTCTATGTTTACATATGCAAGGATGATAACTTCTCTTAAATCTCTTTCCATTTAACATATTATGATTGTTTTTTTTTCTAAATGCAATGTCAGGTTTCCAAAACTTTATGCACAATAAAAAAAATTTAGTCAACTCTTTCCTGCATATAGCTGAATAGAGTGTGATTCTTACCAATAGTAACCTCTAATAGACTCATTCCCAAAATAGATTGTGTAGCTGCTGTGCTAATCTTGATACTGAACTGACCACATAAACCCCTCTTTTACATGGAGTCCTGTAGCATAGTGGTTAGAGCAATCGCCTTGCAATGGAGAAGACCCTGGTTCGATGTTCGGCCAGGGCGAACCTTAGGCAGGTTTCCTTACTCCACATGCCTCTGTTTACCTAGCAGTAAGTAGGAATCCAGTTGTTAGTCGTTGGCTTTCTGAGGGTAATAATCCCTTCAAAACAAATAATAATTCGGTCACTCAATCCACAATTGTTTGTGGGACACTGCTGTGTGCAATTGGCTGCCGCAATTTGCCCACAACATATGCAGTCAATTTACTGTAAAGTTTATTCTCTGAAGCGCATTAAGATGTCTCGAAGACGTGATGTTTCAATGTTTGATATCATTTAGCAGCGTTAACAAAGTAATTTTTTTTTTTTAAAAACAACGCATTTGTCTTTTACCTTTTAGGCTTTTACCGAAGTCTTCGCCAGGAACCTGTTATGTTTGGCACAATAGGTGGACACACCCATATATCTTATGTCCACTGGTACGAGTGTGGTATAGCTATACCAGGGAAGTGGTGAAGCTGACAAGCACCATATTGGAAGGCTACAGGAAGAAGCAAAGGGACTGAATTACTATATTATATTGATATTGTTCCTTATATTCAATGTAAGATTCAAATACACCATGTAAAGTGCAGAATGTTTTTCTCTTTTAAAAAAGAAGCCTTATAGAAATCTTTACATAATATGGTGCAGCGTGAATTGTACCATTTTAAGGCACATAATTGTAACTATTCTAGACCCAAAGTGGGATACCGATTTAAAACAATGTGACTACCAATCTGGGCAGTAAATGCTAATATTAGCAAGTAATTACCAATGTTTTGACCAGCTCTCACAATTTATTTCTTGGCCTTTTTGTCATTTGGTTGAAAGGAGTAACGGCCATTAGAAAGATAAAACATCCGACGAGTAAAGGAAAAGAGAAACACTCACTATTGATACAGTGTGCTGTAAATAAATGATAGCACTGCCCAGGATTTTATATCCTGAAAGATGTCTTCTGTCTTTAGGCATGTCCTTGGTTTTAAAAAAAGGTCCGATACAGTTTGTTTTATTTATCTAAACAAACATCCTAAAAAGTTTTTAAAAAGCAGCCGATTATATTGGGAAGCTGGCTCCCTACACCCTCGGTACTGAATATAAATGTTTAAAAGTTATTTATCAGGAATGTATTTAAAAACACAGAACATAAATTGTAACGTCTATTCACAAAATATGAAAGTTTTGTTTAAAATTTATATTTACTGTAACAAGTGAGCTTTTAGCAGTATTGAAGGGCGTCTCTCAATAGGTACCCTTTGGAGCAGGCAGCCAATAAAGCTCCTCCAGGAAGTTGAAATGGACTCATTTCACCTGTAAAGATACTGAACAATGCAACGAGTGTATTAATCCAGGACATTAATGCAGGAAGAAAGGTGCCTGTGAAGAGAGGGGACTGTTATTTCTGCCTGTAATGCAATTCATTCATATTTTATTTAGTATTGAATGCATCAAAAGTGTCGCATAAGATCTGTTAGTTACAGCCAAGACTCTATTTACACCCACACTCACTACGCAGGTGCACCCATCAAAAAGTTTAAATCTGCTGATTTATTTTTGGTTATTGCATGCAGATATTCAGATTATGGTAAATATACCAGGCCAAACACTTACAGACATTCTCACAAACATCTAACTACTGCACACGTACAACATAGAGCTGGTCAGCTGATGAACAACTGCACACATTCCACATAGATACACATTCAGCTGCCATGTGTCTTTGCTTGGCCGTGTAGAGTCAGTACAGACACTCAAATCCTGAAATTTCACCCAGGTCTTAGTCTGAAAGAGAGTTATGTCTTAATGTTTAAGATTCCACATATTTGAGGGAAAATCCGTATGTTCTGTCTTTATTTGAAAGCTACTTCGTGGCGGAAAACCATCTTCCAAATTAAGACTACACCAAAGAATATTCTACAATTTTGCACAATCTTTTAATTTTCTTGCAATTTGAAACCACCAAGCCTGGGTGGAAATTTAGGGCCTTTATTTTCAAAACCCCTCTCACAACTAAACACTCGGCCAGAAGATATGCACATATCTGGTCAACTGGCAGTGCCTCAAACACACAACTACAGAAATGTTTGGTGTCTGCTAAACAGCTAATAAATAGTTTCATGTACCAAGATAAGAGACATCTGGCCCCCCAAAAAACATTATATATGACCACATGATAACACGACCAAATAACTCTTAGCTACCACACATCTGTCTACAATCGGTATAGAGATGAGAAGTTTCCAAAGTACCGTTCATGCCCGAATGATCAGTTACCAAACATTTGCCCAGACCCACACAGAAAAGCTCAACACAAGATGGAATAGTTGGGCGACTGTTAAGCATCCACACACAGAAACACTTAGTTACCATAGTCTCCATGTATTTGGCTCTATGCCAAGTAATTAGAGCCAAATACTGAGCTACCATGTATAATGGCTGATCTATTTCAAGATGCTGAACTGTCAATGATCCACAAGCACCCAGAGTGTAATGCAGAGTTACCAGACACAATTCTGTATCTGCATAAGAGATTGCAGCAGCCGAATATTCACACGCACTCTCCTATAGACGTGCAGCTTTGCTGATCTTACGCTTTATTCAGTATTTGTGGAGGTTAACGCCTCATATTCTTGCCACAAGTGGATATTATAGGTTAAGGAATACATACTAATATGTATAACTTTGTTCTTCCATGTGACATTGCTAATGATATGATTTTAGTTCTGAAACCATGGCAGCGGTTAATATTTAGATTGTCTGTAGCTTTAGTTAAGCAGAGTTTTTGATAAATTTTGCAAGGCTGTCTGCAAGCAGTTATCCATGCTGTCATACTCTGAGAATGAAAACAACATAACTAAAAAAATAAAAGTTAATCTGATACCTTTATTTACCATTTCATTGGTGGTTTTCAAAACGCACAGTCCATCAGTTGAATTCAGTCAAAAAAACTCACCATATGTCAAGCCATCCAATACTCTACTCAGGCTGTACTTGGGAGTACAGCTCTGGTTACCACAACATAAGGGGACTGCCCAGGCCTCGGAGGCAGTATAGAGAGGAGTCCTGCTTCCCCTGTATTCAAGGGATGTTTTGTTGAGGGGAACAGCTAGATAGGGAAGGGTTCTTCAGCCTCAAAATGAAGGGGCACTTTTCACATCAGGACATCCCGCAGCACTTCACAGGATTTGCTGCAAAGTGCACTGACTGTGTGTCTTGTGGGCAAACATGGCAGCCAGTTTGGAAGCAGAAATATTGCATAAATAACCATGAAGTGAATGAATGACCAATTTTTTTTTATTTGGGGATTGTTGAGAATCTCCCTCCTTTTTCAAATCGTGTCATGAGATCATTAACATCCACTTGAACAGGCAGACGGGACCTTAAACATCTCATCTAAAGAACAGCACCTCCAACAATGCAATGCACCCCAAACATTACACTGGAGTGTCATCTTAGACTATATGAGCTTAAATTCCAATGTGGGTCTTGATCCCAACCCTTGACTCAGAGGCAACAGTACAAACAACAGCCAGACTGATTGTTGACAGGATATTTGTCAAATGGTGTTACAGCCAAACCACATGCTGTCCTCATCAGATTTCCACACACCTGTATATCCAGTAGATGTCAGAAAAATATAGCTAATTTTTCTTTCCTTAATCGGGATGTTCAGGCCAATTTTAGTCACCCTCCTCTTACCCTCATTCAGCGAATGCAACACATAGATCCAAATTCCACCAGGGTCATTTAATTGTAACATTTAAGATGACCCAGAATTGTAGAAAATTCTTAAATGTTGTCTTAATTTGAAACTCATTCTTTTTAAGAACTGTAGAAAACTGGTTTCCAAATTAAAGACTGCATTTAGGATTCTTCCACAATTCTGTGTTACCTTAGTTATTAAGATAAGTTGGTTTTACAGGCTTAGACTAAGATAGTATTTCAGACCTCTGGGATCTCCTGTAATGCATAGTTCATCTCCTCACTGAATAAACTCAGCAAACCATTGGAGAAGCTCGATTCCATGGTTTCTTGTGTTACTGAAAACAAACTGTTCTTCGTGTATTATTATTTCATTCTTTTCACCTCTATTTATGGCACTATCTATCATCTGTTAAAATATTTCAGTATGTGGGTGTATCTGTGTGTGGAAGAGACATAGTCGTTAATTGATACCCAGGAGAAACATACTGGGATTAAGAGCGAGTTATTGTAAAATATAAAGGGAAGAAAAGTGAAAGGAAAGTGTCAGGCTGAAGGTCTATTTACTGAAACTAGATACTAAAAATAAAGGTGACAATGATTTGCCAAACAAAATCCTCTTTAATAAAAAATTACTTTTTTTAAAATTTATTTTCATTTTTATTGGCGTTAGTCCTGCTCACCCGCCATTAACCAAATGAGACCAAAACTTGTCACTGCACCATGTACTCACGAGCACCCGAGCAAATCAGGTGACCGGATAGCTTCTCCGGCATGCTGACATTGGGACCATGATCACGGTGTCTCCCCTGATTACATTTGAGGACAACTATCTTCCAAAGGAGGAAGAAATGAAATTCAAAATAAATTATCATCTGTGATAGTAATCACTGACTCATATTATCCTTCACGTGCATTACTGCCAGATTTCTAGCAGGAATAGACCCGTGAGCACTAAATACCGGATCTGGGTATCAGAATGAGACGCAGCCTGCTGATATATGAGGATTTTTAACACTAATTCATATGATACAATTCATTAACCAATGCTGGCTACTGAACTGTTTACTGAATTGTAAAAAGGAAACTTCTGTTACAATATTATCCTGCAAAAAGTTTTCCAAAGCTAATTTTTCCTAAATTCAATAAAAAGTCCTAAATCAATAAAACTTTTTTTAAAGCAGTGGATTAGTAACACAAAATTAATGCCACTTTCGATTTGAATAATAATAACTTATCTTTTTTGTGCATCAAGAATAATGTATACTTCCAGAAAGGAGTCACCAAGCTGAGATAAATGACTGCAAATTGTCCAACTCAAGATTTCTTTCTTTTTAATATCGTGCACAGTGGAACCAAAGTATATTACAAAGTATCATTTTTTATTTAAATATATTGTGTATAATTAAACATATATTACATATCATTTGGAATAAGTAAATTTATCAATACACCAAGGATTTAATGATTCCATTTTTTTTCTCTCATCCTCAAATGTTATTAAAATGTGATTACTTCAGGACAGCACAGAAGTCCGCCTTGGATCTTTACCAGATGGCATTAAATATTATTACAATTGATGAAGGTCCAAGATGGCAACATGAACTGCAATGAAGCCATCACGCTTCAATAAGATTCAAGGCAAGAAAAACACACCAGCAAAAAAAAACATATGGAGAGGGCATACACACGTCATTTTTATGCCACGTCCTAGAAACAATTATAACTGCACAATTTCTGACTGCAAACAACACAGAGGAGGAAAGATGACCCAATCATTTGCCTATCACCTGACTTGAATATATTTAAAATAATCCTTGCATTTGATAGAGCGTCTTATCACCTTGTCGAGCCATCTCAAAGCTCTTCACAGAATATATTGCAAAGTGACATGACTGTGTATTTTGTGGGCAAAACACAGCAGCCAATTACGCACAGCAGTGCTCCACAAACAGTAGTGGATTGAGTGACCACATTTTTTTTAAGAAAAGGGATTATTACCCTCGGAAAGGGATCCGCCAATCGCAATCTACTTATTGCTAGGTAAACAGAGGGGTGTGGAGTAAAGAAATTAGCCTAAAGCTTTGCCCTGTCCAGGAATCAAACCCAGATCCTCTCGCTTGTGAAGCGAGCGCTCTAACCAATAGGATACAGGATTCCACAATTACTTCTTGTCCATACCTCGCATTTCTGATAAAGCTGTCGACATCTTCAGAAAAAACGTTTCCGCTGTTGAAATTCCCATGAAAAAGCAATTAAAACCTCCTCCCAAACTGCAATCAGAACCAGTCCTGCTTCACCCCAAATCAAACCATGTTTCCCATAACAAGAGTAGAAGCTGCTGCTCTTCAGTTAAATTTCCCTCCCATGTAGAAACAGTAACCCTGTCCTAATGAACTATCAGATGGAGTCTTAAACACATTAGTAACAGCCATGTTTATTTCAGAAAATGTCCATCATTCACCAGAGGTTACATATTCAACATATCACTATGTAGCTTTGTAGCCAATAGTTTAACACTCAGATAACACTGCTCAGTCTCTCAATGGGTTGAGGCTTGCATGTATATTTACACTTACTCTAACACACGTATACAATAGATGCACAAATCCATCCTCCTTTAAAAAATACCCATTTCCATTATTCTGTGTGATTTTGACAAGTGAAAATTCTTTCCGCATTAGTTACTGTTGAACAGGGATGGTCTGGAACACTGTAGTGTTGGTTAAGTTATACTGGGCATTATGTAATACCATTCACTCGTCTTCCACTCAGTGTCTAATTATGGAGACTATCAGGTGCATGTTGGCAAGAGGCTTGGGACCAGAGTTTGTGTTGGGATAGTGCTGGAATTTAATGTAAGAGCTAAAACTACATACCTTGCTATTGGGAGCACTCTGTGGAAAGCTTCCTGCTCTTGTTCAGCTGGGTCCACTCTACCCAACATGGCTTTGGTTTGCAGGGTCAACAGGAACTAAATGGAATGAATCTCTATTCCCAGCAGCTGCTCTGCCCCTCTCAACTCCCACTGATGATCCAGTCTAGCTGGTGTGTCATCAGTAATGCCTTGGAGGGAGTACTGCCTGGCTCACGAACAACTTTCATTGCCCTGGAAATTAAATGGGATTCAAGGTACACCCATCTATCCTGTATCAGTGCAGAACCATCAACCATTTAAATTATTTTCAGGTTACTTTGCACTTCACCTTTCCATCATTTTGTTTTTTTTCTTTTCCTCAGCTTGCTCTCTCACAAAATATTCACTTCCCTTATTTTTTCATTCTTTCTCCATTTTTTTTTCTTTTTTCCCTGGTACCTTGATTTCCACTCCCCTCTTCTGTCCTTTATGTAAATTTACATTAGTTCTTGCTGTTTGGGGTCTAATTCTGCCCTTAATTGCTATATCAAATGCAAGGATTATTATTATTATTATTTGATTCCACTCTTACTATTGCTTGATGGTGGAATATCACCTTTTCAATTTATGTGATTTTTTTTTAAGTCTACTGCTCTGCTTTGTCAATGAGTTGTCGCTATTGCTTTTCCCAATTGATTTTTTTGTTTAGGAAATGCCTCATTTTAGTCTAGTTCCATTGCCTTTCACTCTAAAGCTTGAAAAATAATTAATTTCATGTCATTGGTAAGATATTATTCCTTTTCCTTAGTGAGAATGAAACTATTTGAGAATTGTTGCAGGTTAGAAAACAGCTTCACTATTATCTAGTGTGAGATCCATTAAGAGTGTGAAACGAATAACCTTTCAACTTGTTGGGAAAAACATAGAGCCAGCTAATGAGATTGTGGTAGTTGCCTGCACCAGTCTTAGCAGTGACAGTGAGGTTCAATCTGTGCCCCCTAAATGGATATCCCTTAAAATAAGTTTCTCCACATCATCTGAAATGCACTGGAATTATTTAGGCTGAACCTCAGTGGTCAAACCAGACATTGTACATGAAAATAGGCTTGACAATGAATCTGGGTGGAATGCGATCCAATGTGCAGAGTATATATTGTATACAAAGCTTCTTGCTCCCATGGATCTATCACTCCAAGACATCTGGTGACATCGGAAACCAGAATGCACTGCAAGAATTCCCATGTTAGTTGTCTGTCAACCATATGGTGATGGTACAGAAACATCAGCAAACATCTCGCCAGCTGATAATCCAATAGACATGCGAGATTTCCTGGGCCAGAAACTGAGGTTGCAGTCAGCTTGATACTATACTTAAGTAAGTTTGTACTGAATCTATCCATTATTGTGGTCTCCTATGAAGAAGTGACAATGAAATCAAGGTGAAACACCAGTAGGTTCGGAAACCCTGGTGAAAAAACAATGGCTGAAGCTGCCATTGATGAAAACTACAATGAAAATACTACAAAGAGATACAATAACAATAGAAATACACCAAAAAGATAGAAAGACCAAAGCAACTTATCACTCCAATAAAAACAAACAGCTGTTCCAGAATTACTAAAAGCTATGTAATTAGGTTAAGAAGAAAAAAGGATATACTTAGAAAACGGCCAAGAGTCAGGAGGGCAAGGGGTAGGAAAGATTATGTAATTTTCACCATTTGGCTGGAAGAAATTTTAATGTGTGTGTGAAAATGAATAAATAATTGAATGCAATTTACACATTTCCATATTTAATCCAAAGAAACATACTGAAGATGAAATAAAATCCAATATAGGGTTCAACATCTTTATTAGCTTTCCAGGAAAATGTTACTATTTTGTACATATTAACCTCTAATCTCAATTCAATAGGGATTTCATCAATACATTTCAGTTATGCATTTAACAGTAAAAATGAGTCACGTCAGTTGTCTATTTGCAAACTATTGTTAAATTTCTTGCTCTTCTGCCAAGGCAGACTACAACTTCAGAATCACTTGACACATATTTAGGTAGTGTTTCCAATGACCGGGTTTTATACGCTATGATGCCGATAAATTTGAAAGCAGAAAATAAAGAGAAAACAAATCTATTTGGTCTCTTTCCCCCAGCAAACAAAATCCATCATTCAGAAGCTAATAGAAGGAGGGTTTGTTCTGCTTTAGATTATAAATTGTGTACAGATCAAAAAGAGGTTCTTGGACTCTGTGCGAATGGATGGAATTCATTACCTAGCAGTAGTGGGTGGATGGGCTTCCAGCTTCCCTAACACCAGCACTCCTTACCGATAGCCTGGCCCAGGCTGGGTGTAGCCCTGAGCGAAAGGTGGACGATTGCGTGCATATGGATTGGCCCCAGAAGGGGGTGGCGTCACATTGCTGCCCGAGGAAGGTGTGAAACCCGGCCTGGGTTGGTAGGCCCCTGGCTGATTTGGAGCCATGCCCGGCTGGGCAGCGGATGGCATGGTGTAGTTAGCAGGCTGAGTGGCCGGTGTTGTATAATTCTGTGGGGGGTAGGAGCTGGCTTGGTACTGCTGAGTGGGCTGCGATGGCATTTGCTGGGGCTGGTTAGTAAACCCAGGAGCAGGTGCCTGTGAAGCCTGCTGGTTGTAGGCTTGGAACTGTTGAGCCTGCGGTTGAGGGGCTGTTTGTTGGTTGTAACCTGAAAAAGATGAATGTGCGTTAGTGTTGTGAAACAAAGGAATAATCAATTACACACAGAATACAGCCCGACTTATTTACATATTTATGTTAAGTGCTGAAATGTTGAACCCCAAAACAGTGAGGTGTTATTGCAAGACCTTTAGCAGTTCAGGGATTCAGTTTCTTGTAGCTGACTCGTTGGAATTCAGCTTTTGAATTTAAACACAAAACATGATTCCACATTTGTCTATTGCAGTCAGCATATTCATGTGGAGTGACTGCAACTGAGCCCATCTGGTGTACTTGAGCAAAAAGCGAAAAGATTCAACATTGAGGAGCCTCCAGAAAGATGCGCAACACTAGCTAGACACGTCAATCTCATGTCCATAAACTAACCAGTGCAGGGATTAAACTCAAACTAGTGCTCCCATACTCCAGCACAGCAGGGTCACAACCTAGTTTTACTAATAGCTCAAAACGAGTTCAGATCACGAAAGAGATTTGGATGAAGATAGACTTCACCCTGCAGCATTAACTCATTTCTTAAATATATCTAGTGTCCTGGTCTTAATCACACTGTTCCAACTATTGATTGCCCTCTGTGTACGTCTTAAATTCGCAAATCTTAATTTGTGACATGTTCTGCTGCCTTGTTCTGGATTAACTTTTTCTGTCCTATGTATTTCCACAATATAAGGGTCACCCTGAGTTGTATTCTGAAGGTTTCAAGAATCGCAGGTTATCTAGACACACTTCATCACTCGAACACATTATCGCCAGGTCTGAATTGCCTCAAGGCCTGGTTGGTCTCCTTCTGTCGCTGTAATAATAATATTTGCATTTGATATAGCGCTTTTCATGTCTTCTAGATGTCTCAAAAGCGCTTCACAGAATATACTCTAAAGTAAATTGACTATATTTGTGGGCAAAACGCAGCAGCCAATTGTGCACAACAGTGTAGCTCAAACAGTCGTGGATTGAGTGACCGAAATATTATTGTTTTTTTGAGGGATTATTATCCCCGGAAAAGGGATCCGCCAACTGACTAACAACCGGGTTCCTACTTACTGCTAGGTAAACAGAGGCATGTGGAGTAAGGAAACTTGCCCAACATTTCGACCTGCCGGGAATAGAACCCAGGTCTCTTGCTTGTGAGGCGAGTGCTCTAACTACAACAACAACAACAACAACAAGATTCCATTTATAAAGCGCCTTTCACGTCAGGAGGACGTCCCAAGGCGCTGCACAGTTGGGTCATGACCCGAGCAGGGGGGAAATGGTGAGGGGAGGGAAAGGAGGGAGAGAGGAGGGGGGAAATGGTCCGGGTGAGGGGAGGGAAGGGAGGGAGTGAGGAGGGGGAAGAGAGTCGAGAGGGGAGCTGAAGGCACGGTCAAAGAGAAAGGTTTTGAGACCGGCCTTGAAGGAGGAAAGGGAGGAAGCAAGGCGAAGGCACTGGGGGATGGAGTTCCAGAGCCTGGGGGCTGAGAGGCTGAAGGCCCGACCACCGATGGTAGGGCGGTTGGGGCGGGGGACGTGGAGCAGACCAGAGCCAGAGGAACGGAGGGTACGGGCAGGTAGGTAGGGGGATAGTAGGTTGGAGAGGTAGGAGGGAGCAAGGCCGTGAATGGCCTTGTAGGTGAGGATGAGGATCTTGAAATCAATCCTCTGGGGGATGGGGAGCCAGTGGAGGCGAGCGAGGGTGGGAGTGATGTGGTCCCGAAGCCTGGTGCGGGACAGTACACGAGCTGCAGAGTTCTGAATGAAACTACTGAGCTGCAGGGCTCCACAGCAATATTCCAGGTACAGCCCAAGTGTAACTTCTGGTTATCTGAACAGATTTCACAAATATGTTTACCTAGTTTATCTTGCTATTTCTTTAATAAGCAAGGCATTCAGTCAGGTTGCATTTCTGTCCAAACTTGCTGAACCACAAGGACTACTCCTCCTTAAGGATAATAATAATACTTACATTTGATATAGCGCCTTAATCATGTCTTCAAGGTGTCTCAAAGCACTTCACAGAATATACTGCAAAGTGAATTGACTGCATATTTTGTGGGTGAAACGTGCAGCTAATTGCACACAGCAGTGTCCCACAAACAGTCGTGGATTGAGTGACCAAAAGAGAGTGGAGTTCCTCCAGATGTATGGGCTAACAATCCCCCAAATAAGATTGGTTATTCATTTCATGGCTGTTTATGGGACATTGATGTGTGCAATTGGGCTGCCAGATTCGCTCACAAAACACACAATCACTACACTTTACACTTTATGAAGTACTTTGGGAAGTCCTCCCGACATGAAAGTGTTATATCGAATGCAAAGATTATTGTTATAATCTATGTCTTTGATGTAGTTATACACAGGCTTTGTAACTGAACTAGTATTACAGAATTAAACAAAAACAAGTCTGAAGTAGGGTTTGATGCACAAAATTTGCACTAATCCACCACTCCTCTAGGAGTGTAAGCCTGGCTCAGTTAGTGACACTTTCACCTGCCTGTGGGTTCAAGCCGCACATCAATACTTTGAATTCATAGTCTAGGCTGACACTCCAATACAGTACTAGGGGAATGTTGCATTGTTGGAGGTGCCATCTTTTGGATGAGACATTAAAACCGTGCTTGACTGTTCAAGTGGATGTTAAAGATCCCATTACACTATTCAAAAAGAGAAAGAAGTTTCTCCCGGGTTCATGGTCAACCATCCCCCAGATAAAATCTTTCTTTCACTTAATGGCTGTTTGTAAGACATTGCTGTGAGCAAATTTCCTGATGCATTCACCTACAAAATACACATTAACTCCACTTTAAAGCAGATACACCAGACTATGAAATACTCATCAAAAGCAGTTAAATAAATCCTTTGAAAAAACAAGTAAGATTTATCTGGTTCAGAATACAATTGAAAGGTGTAAGTACAGGCATTGATATGATACATTCATATAACGCCTTTCATGTAAAGAGGATGTCTGAATGTGCAAGACAAAGCTGACGGGCACCTGGTAGGGGGAAGAGAAAAATGACTGAAAGAGCAGTCAAAAAGGTATCCGTAGACATGGGGTCGACTTCCACACGTATGCAGATGAGACCCAACTCTACCTCTCTGCCTCCCCCCTCAACTCCAGGACTATTGCTGTCCTCACAGACTGTCTGTCGAACATCAAGTCCTGGATGAGAGCAAACTTCCTCCAGTTGAATGTCAACAAAACCTAGGCCCTCCTGCTTGGCTCCCACCAGAGCCTCCATACCACGGGCACTGACAGGATCGCTCTTCATGGATGCATTCTACACCTCACTGAGCCAATAGGGAACCTCAGCGTTCTGTTCAACTCTCAACTGTCTTTCACCCCCCATCCATGCCTTGACACGCTCCACCTCCATAATATTGCCCGTCTCCGCCACTGTTTCTCACCGCAGGCCTCTGAGCCCCTCATACACGTGTTCATTATATCTAGGCTCGACTACACAAATTCCCTGCTTGTCAGCCCCACAACTCCTCTCTCCACAGGCTGCAGATCATCCAGAACTCTACAGCCCTTGTCCTCTCCCGCACCAGCTATCAACTGGTTCGCACCCTCCGCTCAGCGGGCTTCACGTCTTCTGCCTTGCCTGCCCCACCATTGGTGGGTGGGTGGGCCTTCAGGCCTCTCTGCCCCCACCCTCTGAAACTGCATCCCTTCGCCTCACCGGCCTCCTTCAAGACCCATCTCAAGACCCTCCTCTTCGACCGTGCCTTTGATCACCCTCCTGCTCCTACCTTCTCCACCCTTCTTGATCCCAACCATCAGCTTGGGTGTGGATCCCTGACCGTTCAGCGTCTTGGGATGTCTTCCTGACATGAAAGGCGATTTACAAATGTGGTTTGTTGTTGTATGTTTTGAGACATGTCTTAAATGAGGGGGAGGGAAGTGATGATCAAATGCTCTATGAAACGCAATTATACTTGTGCAATTGTCTCAAAAGAAATGGCTCTCTGGAATACAGAGGGCCAGAGTTGAATTAAGTTTGGTCAATGTACAAATGCAATTTTGTTGTTGTTTACTGGAATTTATTTGCAAAATGACATTTCAAGAACTTTTGCTTTCTTCACTTAGCAGGTCAAACTTCACTCTCACTCAAGAGATTAAGTGTTGGGTAAAATCCATGATGATAATAAATTGAAATAAAATGTTGCCAGTAATCAAATGAGCTTGTATTGTTCTGATGATACTCAAGGTCAGGTATTACTGTAGCAATAAATTTTCACACGATTCAATAAGACATTGTGAAAGATTAACAAGTGGTTAAACATTTATGAAATACTGAATTCTAGTGCGATACGTTATTACTGGCAGTAATTTCTCAACCCATGGGATAAATTTCAGTGCGTGAAACTACATTTAAACAGTTGATCAGTTGTTATGTAATGTCAACACTCGCTCAGGTTTCTACAAGCAGTCACGTAACCTGCCACAGAATAAACTATTTCTCACTTGTGGCTGCTAGGTTCAAAGCATTTCTTTCACTGAAGTCGAAGAACTGGCATTGCCTTACCAGTACTGATTAAATTCCCTGGGGTATTATATTTTTCTTGAGTGAATAAATGGGACAGCAAATTAAAAAAACAAGTTGAATCCAATAATGCAAGTCTTAAAGCAAAAAATTGCCCATGAAACAACATTTATAGATTGATTTTTATAGCTAACTATGAACTAAAAATTGAACACAACAGGATTGTTACCAAGATGGCGATTACATCATTGAATTATCGATTAAACAAAAAATGACCAAACTTAAGTAAATCTGTTCCATTCAATTCTTAGGCTAGAATTCACAGAAGATGGAAGCATGTTTTGTAGATGTCTAAATAAGACTTAATCCTAATTAAAGGGTATTAAAATGGCATTAGTGGATACCTGGCAGTATTGCTTACCTCCCCAGGGTGATGAAAAGTGTGGGAAACCCAATCCAGGAGAAGATGAGAAAATGGGGCCAATTTAGTAGCCATTTGATATTTAAGGCATTGAATAGATCCAGATGTACAATTTATAAACCTCCTCGTTTTAATTGGTAAGGCCACTGCCATAGCAGTACATCAGCTTTTATTAGACTAAACATTCAAAAGTCTGGGGCAGTGTGCTGCAAAGCACACTGGGTCCATTCAATGTGCAAATATCAAATGGTTCACTACTTTAACCCCAATAAGACTAAAAATGCTATTTTAACTTTCATCCTCAAAATAATACTCTGACCATCTGACTGCTTAGATCTCCTCAGTTGCTCCCTCCAAATCACGGAGCCTGTGTGGAACATCAGCATTTTGTTTGACCCTCAACTTTCCTTCAACCTGTTCATGCAGGCTCTGATCAAGTCCACTTACTTTAGTCTCCGCAACATCAGCAACCTCTCAGCTAGGGATCCCTTCAGTCTCTGTAAAGTGCTTAGAGACATTCTCCCACCATGGAAGGCACCATACACATGTAAATTGTAATTAATTTTTCCTAGTTCTCCCTCTTCTGCAAGTCAATTTATGAGCTATTCCTATTTGCCGAGCAACTACTATTTCAACCGTATCCTTTCAACTTTCTGCCAATAGTTATTAATCTTTTGTCAATTTGTAATTATATATAACTCTCCAAAAATCATTGGGAAGTGATGGTACAGTGTTTTAATGTTGGCTGCTTGCTTTTTTACCCAAAAAACAAACAGATCAATTTCCAGATCCTCTCATTCATTTTCAAATCCCTTCATGGCCTCGCACATCCCTACCGATCCGATTTGCTTACCCCCCACCCACTGCATCTGCTCGGCTGCCTCCGGCCTCCTGTTCATCTCTCGTCCCCTCCACCATCGGTGGCCGTACCTTCAGCCACTACGCCCCGAAACTCTGGAATTCTCTCCCCCAATCCCTCTGCCTTTGCCCCCTCCACACTTTCAAATCCCACCTAAAGACCTTCCTTTTTGATCGTGCCTACAGTCATCTACCCGCTCCCTTTCCCCCTGGCTCGGGGTCAGACTCTTCCACTGGCTCCGGCACGCAACCTTGCGTAAAGGGCTCTATATAAATGCAAGTTTGTTGTTGCTTTTGCTTTCTATGTAGCAATGTAACTCACATCTGACCCACACTAACATCAGTAATGGCTGGGCAGAGTCCCAAATAAAATTCCTTGAAACCCAAATGGTCTTGAATTTGGAAGGATCCATGTGATCTAATCTGGGCGGAAAAGGGGAATACTTATATGGGGTTCAACAGAAGGTTCTATGTTCAACCTTCGCCCATATGGTACTTAGGTAGCAGGTTTCAATCCTACCCTTTCCTGATCACCATCCAGAGCTCCCCGCTGGAAGGGGCGAGTGTGACATCAGGGGAGGACACGATATTAGGCTTGGCCCTTTATCCACTTCCCAGCACCCGTGTGCTTCAGCTAGCCCGCCACAACTCGTGAATAACGGCCAGTTGGATGAAGCACTGGAGGAGGGTGTCTGCACCCGTGGAAGCGTAAAAAACAAACAAAAAAAAACTATAAATCTCTTCCAGAGAAGGAAGAAAGGGAGGAATTAAATTACGGATGCTTTCAAGCTGAAGGGCAGTGCTGCAGCAATCCTGACGACTTCCTCTCTTTATTGCTGTCTCCTCACCTGAGTACTGTATTCCATACTGCGGCTGAGGCGCATATCCCTGCTGCTGGTACTGATGATACATTTGACCTGTTCAACAGAAAGTGAGCCATTGAAATCACATGTCAGCATCAGAAACATTCGTTACATAACAGGACTTTAATAACTGTCAAAAGTGAGTCTGGTATTTCGGTTTAGAGCGATTTGATTTGTTTTCCACTCCCCCCACCCCCACCAATAGCACAAGATTTCAAAAGTGGCCTTCTTGTTCCAAAGCACACCAATGAGCATGTCAATTTTGCTTGAGTCAACTGGTTATAGGAAGGGCCAAGCATCCTATGCATGTGTGTGTTTTCCCTTCTGACCAAGATTTGTCTTAACACACAGACCCAAGATTAGGCTATTGTCCTACAACCTAACTGATGAACTGACGGCCTTGAAGTGTTCCTAGTGTTTAAAATAAAAAGCAACAACTATGAAGCGATTAGTCTGTTATAAATCAACAATGGTTATTTAATGCTCAGACTTGCTCAAGTAAGTCATTAATTTCTACAGATAGTAAATACTTTCTAACCAGGAATGTTGGTGTGGCATGTCCAAACAGTTGCTACATCAAATGAGACAAATATCTCAGATCAGAGAAGTGGCGCACATATAATAAGACATAGGGGTAAATGCACCTTTCATTGTTTCACCTGTTTAATGTGGTGAGCTATACCAATCTGTGTTAATGCCCCCAAAATCAACCTATCAAAATAAGGAAAACAGCTTGATGGCAGGTATAAGACATCACGTGTAAGTTTAAAAGCTCTCTGGATTATTTGCAGTAAACTAGTTATATTGCAGCCACCTGCACCAGGGGGTTACAGACACAAATACATGCAATTTAAACTTATTCAACACTTTTAGCATTTAAATCAAATTGGTGAAACCATGTAACGTAACTGAGAATCACTCAAATTACATCAATGTAACTAGATTTCAAAATCTGAAATTAGTCTCTTCCTTCCCACCCACAATCTTCTCCAGTGAAAACAAGTCACTTCTCACAACCACAATTCCTAACAGTCAAATAATGGAGTTATATGCCAGCACTTGATCAGCCTTTCCAATACTTCTGTTGCAAGTTTCAAGCTGATAATCACACAAAACAGTTTTACTTACTCATTAGTGATGATTTACATTTGAGCTTTCTGTTTACTCTACACATTCATCTTGCATGTATTCATATTAAATTCCAGCTGTCATTGCTTAGACAAACTTGCTTATTTTGTCCAAGTGCTTAATTTACCCTTTGAATACTGTTAATCCCTCAGCAATTCAACAAATTTAAAAGCTGCAACAACAAGAACACCTGCTTAAGAATTCAGACAAATGTCCTATAAGTGCATTGTCTTATAATTAGTGTATTACTATTAATTAAGAGACTTCATAATACTCAGGATTCAGGTTTTTACATCTAGGATTATGAGAAACACAAGGTTTCCAGTCCTACTTGATGAGATTTATCAGGTCTTGGTGAAATAATAATAATAATAATCCTTGCATTTGGTATAGCGCTTTTCACGTCGGGAGGACGTCCCAAAGCGCTTCACAGAACACACTGTAAAGTGAATTGACTGTATATTTGTGGGCGAACGCGGCAGCCAATTGCGCACAGCAATGTCCCACAAACAGTCGTGGATTGAAAATGACCAATTTATTATTGTTTTCGTTTTGGAGGGATTATTATTAGGTGTGTGGAGTAAGGAAACTTGCCCAAGGTTTCGCCCTGCCTGGAATTGAACTCAGGTCTTTCACTTGCAAAGCGAGTGCTCTAACCACTGAGCTAAGGACTCCACAAATCTCATCTGGACAACCAAAGATAGGGAGCCATCCATCCAGGACGCTGAAACATCAGATGAAAAGACATGAAATACAATACAAAATTAAATTTGTACAGTGCCTTTCATGTCGGGAGGATGTCCCAAGGCTTGGACAGTCAGGATTTGGACCTGAGCAGGAGGGTGGGATCAAGAAGGGTGGCCGGCAGGAAGGGTGGCTGAAGGCGCGGCTTGAAGGAGGCAAAATGTGGCAAGGACCAAAAAGAGTCTTAAAAATATAGGTAAAAAGTACAATCCACCATGTTAACGAAATATATTGGTGAACAAACTAATGTACTACAGAGGAGAACAATTTATATTACATTTTATAACAAATTGAAACTGGGTACACGTTGACCAGGCACTAGGCAGAAGAGATCATCGCCAACACTGTCCAAACAAAGGCCTTTCAGCCGTATGCAATACCCTCTCTAACGAGAAACAGCCATCCATCTGTCATCGAGCATTCACTAGTTCCATTCAAATTTCCAAGCTTCCCCACTGAAATAGCCAGCAGTGTTTCCACACACTCAGCAGGCAAGTCATGCCAAAATGAAATAGTACTATGGATTACCATGGTTTTCCTCCAATTTATTTCCCATTTGTCATTCTGTCTGAATCTTGCACTATGTGGAAAAAGTAGACTAATAAAGCCTCATGTGGGATTTCTGACAAACATATGGGGGATTAGGCTCACAACACTGCAACACAGTAGTTTAGTGGGTACAGAATGCTCATCTGCCAAACCTCATTAGTGAAAAATAGAAACTTAAAAGCATTTCAAGCTGCTCACTTAAATTAAATGTCAAATGTTAAATAAAATTAACGTTTTCACTGTTAAATATTTTTTCTCTTGTAAATGGTTAGAAAGTCACCAGCTAATTAAAAGGAAGTCGTAGAAACGATTTAAGATATGGTTAGTGCAATGAGGTCTATGAAATTCAATCAAAGAAAGTTCAGCATGCAAGAGTACTTCTGGAGTAGATCTCTCTGCTTTCTACCATTCTAAACCCATTTTTCACCAATTTAAGGTCACACTTCATTTCCGATCCACTCTGCCGGTTTCTCTACCCATTTCTTACCGACTTCTTCCAGCCTACTAATCTAGTAACATAAATCTATGATGCTATTTATATTAAAGGGTAAGTACAAAGAGCAAGGGAATGGAGTTTAGTGTAGATAGTTCTAGAAGGGAAGTGAACAGCATGCAGACATTGGCTGAATGAACTCTTTCCGTACTGTTAATAATCTGATTCCAAGCCCATACAAAGGTTTACCTCAATACAAATTCCACAGGAGGCTCAAAGTAATTTTATAAAGAACAGGCCACTAGTTTGTCCAACCCGCTCTGCCAGAACATTCTACACCAATTCCTCAGGTTAATTAAAATTAATCAAACTTGATATTTTACTTTTAATATAGCAGTTCTTTAGACAAGGATAAATGTGGCCATCATACTGTTCCCATGACCAAGTTTAACTGATAGTGCTGAACACAAAGTTCAGTGTTGAATAAAATAAAAGCAGGAATGAAAAGCATATGAGAATCACCACACTGGAAGCACTGGATGGGCAGCAACTTGTTGCAATAGATTTGATTTTATGTGAAGCTCAACATCCAACACTTATCCAACAGTTATTCTACATTATTTCTGGATTATATAGGGCACGAAAATGAACAATTAGCTAGCTCATGAATGGGATAGATGCAACATACTAAAATGTCAATATGGCAATTTCTTTATGTACAATTTTCATGATTGTTCTTTAAAATTCTAATACGATTTTTGTAATGTTTTCAATGTATCCTAATCTAGTTGTACAATATTTATACAACATACTCAAAAGTATTTACATAAAACGTACTCCAATATCTGCAATTACAAATAAATGTTCACTAAAGAAATACTATGTTTGATTCTTTTTGTGAGTATTTTTGACTTTGATAAAGTGCTACTGATATAGGATTGGGTTTTATGAAGCATCTATGTAATGTGGGTTTTATGAAGCATTTATCAGTTCTATGATTAATTATGGTAACAAGTGGAAGTGGTATATAGTGTATTGTTACGCTGTGCCAGCTATAACAATTTTAAAATCACAAACATTTGAATGTGCTTCGATGAGATTGACAGGTAGACAACTGAGAAACACTCAGAGAAAAAGCAAAATTCAACATTCAATAGCAGATGAATGCCATCTTTTGTAAAGTCCACTTGCAAACTATATAGAAAGGAAATATAAAAAACAGCTTTAGTAAAGCTCACAAGCCAGACCTGACGGTTAGCTATCAAATAACAATTGAATTCCAAGTTCGGTGCCGCAATAGTGAACTGTAGCTTATCTTTGAAATGATTTCTGGATGAAAATATGAATGTTATAAATGAAAACACATACGGTTCAGACAGATTTCTGAAATTCAATCACAAATTAAGGCAGCAGTTTATCCACAGGACTTTTTTTTAAAAAGAAATCACATTTACAGACTGCTTAACATGTGCATCAATATTTAGAATGTGGCATTTCTACCAGTTCAGTAATGTAGGATTCAATTTACATTTTTTAACAATTCTTTTTGTTTAAACATTCCTTTACTATACAGTATGTCTGGGCTATAGAAATGTAATATTAGAACTATATCAAGTCAATAACTAAACTTAATCTGGAATCAATTTATCTTTCTTGTATTCATCTATCTCTTCGCAACGCATTATAAACAATATGACCACACAGCTGGAACTTATAATACGTATAGATACTATCACATTTACACTATGAAAACTACTTTGACACTTAGCTCTGAAGGTTTAGAGCTTTCAAGTTGCAAGAAGATAATTTTATAAATCTTAGTTGAAAAACAATTAAGAACCAGACATTGCTTCCACCATCATGGCATTGCTTTGTTTAAACATCTAAACTATGTGCACATTGGCATTTGGAGCGAGTCCAAAATGATTTTTTTCCGTCAAGTCAACCAAAACTGTGAGAAGGAATGCTAGAGCTGTTTAATTACTTAATTAGTACAAGAAAGCAGCACAAAAAAATGGTAGTGCGGTTCTAAGGATCTTCCACTTCAGGCCAGCAATACCAGTGTCTGCTGCACGATAAACCCCAGTGAAAACACACACACACACCTTCCCTTTGGCTGAATTGATAAAGGCACTGCCTTGTGCAACCCACACGGACCAAGGTGGTCCCAAACACGATTAGTCAAGAAGCAACTGCTCTCAACTTGTTCAGCAGCAAGGATGGCCTCACTATTTCAGAACTAAAGGTGGGAAAGTTAGGATCTGCAATTCCAGTTGCCTGTAGCCAGATGAGCAAGGTACCAGACAGTGACTGAGGTTCATAGAGCCGTACTCTAACAAAAACACAGCGCATTCAGAAAGTGAAGAGAAAAAATATAGGGGCTAAAATTAACATGCATAATACACCAGATTATTGTATTAAAATGTTCCAAGGGGGATACCTCCATAAGTTGACCCTGGAAGTCACTTTGTCCAAGTGTAATTACCTTCAACTTTACCTCAGGAACTTACCCTGCCAAAAGCAACATGGGCATTTTGCTAAACTTAACTAATTGGTACTTGGAAGAAATATGTAAAGTGGCAAATCAAATGTTGCTACTGTGATTTCACAAGACCACTGAAACACAAATCAATATTAGGAAAAAAAGACTAATGTAGTTTGAGAAGTGCCCTATCAGATGCCAAATTAAACATGGTGGTTCGCAAATCCTCATGCCAAGACAAAGGCTAGTGATGTCTGGCATGAAAAGAACCAAAGCTCACAGGAACCTATAAATTCAAAAAGGTTGAATTTATGGTTCAAGCCCCACACCAGGACATGAGCTCAGAATCTAGGCTAACACATTAGTTCAATCATGAGAGAATGCTGCATGTTTCTTGGTGCAATCCTTTGCAGAGGATGTCAAACCTTTTCTGTTGGTTCAGGTAATTGTTCCCCGACTTTCAATGGCACTTTACAAAATGAAGGGCTGAAAATTCTCCACAATCCGTGCCAATATATTGCGCCTTCGTTCAAAAATTCACCAATACCGGTTTAATATTTGCTCATGCGTCTTATTGCTGCTAGTGCCAGATTAGCTGCTTTGCCTATATAAGAGTGTCACTATACTTCAAAGCATTGTGCAAAACTCACTGACGTGATGAGACGTTATATTAAATGTACTTTCCTGCATGCCCATCATTTCTTTAGATTATTGGAGATAAGCAGCTATTTAAGACTGTGAGAGCAGACCTGATGAGTATAATTTTCAACTTAATTTTCCCCTTGCATTTGATATAGTGCCTTTCATGTCAGGAGGATGTCTCAAGGCACATTACAGGATTATTACACATTACACATTATATAGCGCCCTCCACAACGTCTGGCGTGGAGGGCGCTATATAAATCCAAGTTGTTGTTGTTGTTTACGGTAAAGTGTAAGAAACTATACATTTGTAGGTAAAGATGGAAATGAACAGTGGTACAAAGGTTTCTGTGCTGTTGCGTTGGAAGTGGGATTGTCATAGAGAAGATTTTGAATGTAAGAATATCCAATTATTTTGGGAATCAGAGCATTTATACAGATTCTTCTATGGGTATTTCTTCTGGATACAAGAGTGGGTGGGTTAAGTTCCATAATGAGGTCACTGTTTTCCCCACAGCTTGTTGTAGGAGTGAGAGAGATGGATTGAATGGATATCTTGCATTCCATATTTTAGATTGCCACAGTGATAAACTGAGCTACAACACAATACCTTTAGCACACAACAATTCCATTTGACACAAGATCTTTTCATTGCACAGTAAAGATCTCAAGCAATGTTTATTGACCTTCATTTTAGTAGAATCTTGGGTCCCCTAATTTTACTAAGCATTTCCAACAATTTTCTGCTAAATTATTGGCATCTCTGCATATGGAATATTGTTGGGATGAAACTTTCAAAGCATTTTACTTTGGATTGGAAAGCCAAACAATAAGGAGACAGTCATAGCATATCTCTTAAATTAGAATTCAAAATAGAAAATTAAAATGAGTGTTGCTCTTACTGTCTATGCTACCAAACTGCCATCTCCATTGTGGTATTCACTGCCTGGAGAGGGGAATAAAAGGGTATGGGAAGGAGCAAGGAATGAATGAAGATTCATGTTGAGTACAAATACCGGCACGGACTGTTTGGACCGAGCAGCCTATTTCCAGGCTGTACATTCTTTGTAAATCTCCTTCCCACCCAACACTGAAATAACTCACATTTACAGCAACATGGAATGACAAAGAGTGAAAACTGATAATTATGATAAATATTACATTATCCAAGGAGGGTTATCCTAGTATAAAACACAAGTTTACTACCTGGAAATTGCTTTCAATAAAAAGGTGATGCATTCAAGAGGAAGCTTAACTTTCACATGAGGGAGAGAACAGTAGGGTAAGGGAAGGATCAAGGAATTTTTGAAGATTCATGTGCAATATAAACACCAGCACGGACTGTTTGGACCTGTTTCCGTGCTGTACATTCTTTGCAAATCTCCTTCCCACCTGATGCTGAAATAACTCACATTTACAGCAGCCTAGAATGGCAAAGAGTGAAAATCTGATAATTACGATAAATATTACATTCTCCGAGGAGGGTATCCTAGTATAATATACAATTTTACAGCCTGGAAATTGCTTTCAATAAAAAGGTGATGCCAGCACACAGTAATTTATTAGGCTGCTTCCCATTCAATTTCATATAAATGTATTGTTGGCAGAACTCAGTACTTCGGCTGAATTACCGTTGCATTGAGTCTCCAGAGGCTTTAATACCTTAGGAATGAATGGGAAATGATTTGATTGTCACATGCCACTATAAACAGCAGGTTTAGTGCATTCAAAGCAAATGAAATTTATTTCAAATACGCAAAATACAAACTCCGAGCCAGAATAAATGTTGGCGGCCTATAAATGGCAAATTTGCCACCTCTTGCTCAATGATTTTAACCTCTCTTATTATTCCACTTTCTCTTCTGACAAACTTCAAAACTGTTCTAACAAAACTGAACATCAACAAGCCAGCCTTTTCCTAACCTCCACTCACCCCTATTTTGACATATTAAAAAACATCAGATATTAAAACATTTTATTCCATTGCCTTTCTGCAAACCTACCTAACAGGGTCTGGCACAGACATGGTGGGCTGAAACATTCTACAATTCTATTACTGAATTTCACTGATGGGGGCGATGTAGTTGAACATGGATCAACACATTCTTTCCACTGCAGGGTCCAGATTGGTCATATTTGAACAGGAATATATTCAATGAGATTTTAATGCAAGGATTTAACATCTTACCTTCCATCTGACCCGCCGGAGGCTGCACTGCTGTGTAGGGCTGTTGGTGCTGCTGGACACCAGGCTGATGAGGTGCAGATGAAGAAGAAGCAATGCTGTCAGGCGTTCCTGAACGATCATCTACTGGTGCACTAGGAGGGCCTAATATATGAACGATTAATGTTACTGAACAGCAGTACAAGAATTATTATTATTAAAAATAAAACAATTTTACCCAAAAGCAAACATTCCTTTTACTAATCTGCAAACCAAATTTGTAGCTTCATGTCTAGGGGTGGGTTGAGGAAATTCAATACAAGTAAAGAAAAGAAGATTAATGATGCTCTGTTTGGGAAAAGGGAAACAAACACCAACTTAAATGTACTTGGAAGAAAAACACTTGTTTACCCATCAATTTGCGAGACATAGCGAGGGAAAGACTCAAGAGATACACAATAAACTCACAGGGAGATGGGACAATCATAGAGAGGTAGACAGGACAGGAAGTGAGGGTGAGAAAAGCAGAATGAGCCAAACAGAAAATAGACTGGTATGAGCCAAACAAACAAACAGCGGAATGAGCCAAACAAAATGTAATTTTGCTAGTTACCATCAGCTCCCTCCTGCAGACCATCATTCCGTGGTAAGCCCTCCTCCCTATTGCCCATCCTGGGATAGGCTGCTTTACCAATAACATTTTAAGTTTGCAAAGCTGAATGCAAGGTTAACGATTCGCTAGTTTTTTGTTTTATCTTTGAAAGATAAAATATAAACTTTTCAAAACTTTCTCTCAGGATAGAGCAGGCTGTGTGGAAATAACAGGCTTAAATCGGCTAAATGGTCATTTTCCATTCCTTGCTTATATCTTTTGGACAGCTATCCCTGCAGTGCTGCGGCTAGCCAAAATTGTGCCTGGAACCTGAATAATCATTGTTAATCTACTGCTTGCTTGGCAGCGGTAGACTTGCACCAGTTCAATGCAGACACCCTAAAATTTGATGTGCTGATCAAAAAAGTTATGAATATAACGTTAGGAATCATTAAGTTTCTGGAAAGGAGCTACAACTTAGAAAGGCTATTCCAAAGATTCTAGTTTCAGATGAGATTGTGATTAGAATGGGCTTTATTAAGCGTGCTTTAAGAATTTAAGAAATAGAGTCATTGCATTAAGTTTATTCCTACAAAACAGCTCAGTTTGTCATGTATAATATATGGTGCATTTCAGGTATGCTTCAGTTTTTCCATTTCACGTGGAACAAGGCGGCAGAAACAATTGCCAGCTATACACGTTGGCAATTAGCTGCATGAGTCAATGAACACATCTCTGTTAGGCTGATAACTTGTACAGTACTTCCACCCCTCTTTCCAAATGATCAACAGACACTGAGAAAGGTCTCCAAGACGCTTCATCCATTTCAGTCTCTCATGTCCTGGGAAAGGGGGAGGAATAAAAAGAGGTCTTGAAGTTCATTTTGCTCTAGAATTCATGATCGCTTTTGCTGTCATCCCGTCTGGCTAAGTTTTGGGTTCCTTACCTGACTATTTTATCCCCCAGATTGCCACAAGATGAAATAATCAGATGTTGGCATATTTTCAGCATTGTGATTCCTGTAGATTAACGTTCCTGTTTCTTCCCTATTGTGCAGCTGTCTGCATTTCTTCTGTTGGTGTATTAGGACACAACCATGGTTACTAGGTCCCAACGGGCTGTTTTTAATGTACATTATTGCAAGACCTGGAGACAACTCTAACATGAATAGACTATTCACAAAATTAACCTTGACAGCTACTTGGAAATAACTTGAGAGAATTTGCTTCAGACTAGCAACAGGCATATACTAACGCCCATTAAAATATGGTTACTGTAGCAAGTGATGCTTCTTTAAACTTCACTGTTTGATTGGCTATGGGGCAGGACAGAGTTAAGAGTTTCACAGGCAGAAGGTAGCGTGAGGCTGCGTGATCAGCAATGTTGGCTGATATTCTGGATCAATGCAGAATTTTGAGATACAACTACAGCAGTGTATAACCTGCTGTAATTTATATAGCACCTTTCATGATAAAACTAAAACATCTCAAAGCTCTTTACTAAACATTACTAATTAGAAATGAAGTGAATGCCGTTATGGAAGCAAAAGCGACCAGATTATCCTTGGTTCAAACACCAGCAATTCTTGTGGTGTAACTCTGGACATACTTTCATAGGAGATGTATCCAACATGAAGCAACTATTGTAGTGTGCTGATCAGGTTAGTTGAATTTACCATTGACAGTATCTGCAGGGGGATAGATTTTTCTTGTCTTTGAAAGTTAAGACATCCAGAACCTGGTGATCCAGGATCAAATGAAAACGTCCTCTATTTCTGGCAGCAAACATCTTAGTTTTTCCTCGAGTCTTCCCTGCCTGAATGAATTAGTAATAATTTCTGTACCCCTTTTCATGTCCGCAGAGGGTCAGCCATGTTCTGGCCAAAATATCAAGGGCCTCTCTGTGAAAGAAGTTATTCATCTGCCTATTGGAACATGCTCCACCAAAAGAGGCACTGGTTAGTGCAAGATAAATCTTTCATTTGAAGTGAAGGTCCTTGACAAAAAAAGATGATGGCTTTGGTCAATGATAGCAGTTCAGATAATTAACCACCAATTACAAAACCAACAGTTAACCAACAGTTACAAAAAAACGAAGTCAATCCTACTTAAGAAAGAAAAGAAAGCATGCTGCTATGAACTATCGTGGAGTCCTGTAGCTCAGTGATTAGAGCACTTGCTTTGCAAGTGAGAGACCTGAGTTCAATTCCAGGCAGGTCAGGGCGAAACCTTGGGCAAGTTTCCTTACTCCACACGCCTGATAATAATCCCTCCAAAACCAAAAACAATAATAAATTGGTCATTTTCAATCTACAACTGTTTTTGGGACATTGCTGTGCGCAATTGGCTGCCGCGTTCGCCCACAAATATACAGTCAATTCACTTTACAGTGTGTTCTGTGAAGCGCTTTGGGACGTCCTCCCGACGTGAAAAGCGCTATATCAAATGCAAGGATTATTGTTATTATTATTATAACTAGGTTGTACATCATGTTTTTCTGCCTAAATTTTTAGATATGCTTACAATAGAAAATAATGTTCCCTTCCCAGAACAATATGTACAGTAACAAATGTGTTAATCATAAAAAGCCAATGTGAGATGAAAATAAACAATTGAATTTACCATGGATAAATAGCAAGGAAAAAAAATCTACCTTCTCTTTAGCACTTGTCTAACAAGACTTTTTTCTTCAGGGGATTCCCAACGTCACAAATGTCCTCTCAAATAAGTTTTATTGCTTAGAAATAAATTCCAACAGTATAAATCCAAGGACCATCTGTACTTGTCCAACATAACATCCCCACATGCTCAGTCAATAAAAATGTTAAGAGCTCATAATATGATAGTAGTATAAGATAGTTAGGTTACTTTGATTTAATCTTTTCACGGTACCCAAATTCATATTCAGATGTATGACTAAATAGTTAATGGAGTAAGGAGATGATTTACGGGGTGCGAGATTCTAAAAGGAACCCAGGCATCACACAGAGATACCGGTGAAGATCAGTGACAATCTAATTTTTAATTCTTAAATTCTTGAATGGGGATGGTAGTGTTTACAGACATAGTCTATACAACGAAAGATTTTACAATGTCCATTTGTTTCATGGATTCATACTTTGCTTAGCCAGTTATATACTTCACCGAAAGTTGTCAGTTATTTAAAGGATTGTAGCACCTACCTGACACCTGGTCCTCAGTCAGGCCAAATGATGACATTACATTCTTGCTGATTTCATCCTGATTTTTCAAAGGATCAAAAGCAGACATGCTGGCAGCACTAACAGGAACTGGCTGCTTAATTGTTGAGTCCTGTGCCACAGGCTTTCCATCCCTTCCATCAACAGCTTCTAAAACAAAGCACAAAAATGTATTTGGCAATGTAAACGGGAAATAAAGTCCAAAGAGAGTACTTTTTATTCTAAGTTCACTCACTAAACACAGGAAAAAATATATATTGTATAACACAGTACTTTCCCAACAGAAAGAAAATTACATAGTCCCCATAAGATATCAGTGCGCTGCCATAAAGCTTCAGTGACTTTCCTCTTATTTGATAAAAGGGTCTGTCCTAAAAATACTATTCTATGGGAGAATAAACTTGGTAAGAAATATTTCTTACTGTGCACATTTAATAACTAGTTCTGTACCTTAACCTCACCCACAATACTATTTCATTAATATTGCCAGAAAGTAACATAATTTTTGCCAATTGCTTTAGAATCAGCTCAATTCTGTGAGAATGAAAGAGTAAGAGTCCCAAATACTGTGCAATTTGCAGATCAGTTCTGATGCTTGGCTAATTTCACAATGATTATTTTATTCATACCTGTAGGAGTAGCCAAACTATAAACAGAGACGTCTGAAGTAATCTGGACAGAAAAATTCTGAAATAATTCTTTCCAGATAATACCTCTAGTAGATCCAGTAAGTTTAAGCTTGAAGCTATCCTTTACTATACTTTATAAAACTCAACTGCCTTCATAAGAGAGTTAGTTACACACTCTTAGTTCATCCATTTCTAAGGATAGCAGCATGTGGACTAACCCACTGAACCAGTCTAACCATGAATGACTATGTCTTCAAGAGGCAAGGTCAATGAAGTCCGTGGCAATTGCTGGGAATTTGTTTTCATCAATTGGATCTAATTTCTATGTTCTCATTGCTAGAAAATAGTAATCGTGAACAGCATGGACTCCTCCAGCTTTAAACTGGAGGAGTCCATGCTCAGTGGAGTCCTGTAGCTCAGTGGTTTAGAGCACTCGCTTTGCAAGTGAGAGACCTGAGTTCAATTCCAGGCAGGGCGAAACCTTGGGCAAGTTTCCTTACTCCACACGCTTAATAATAAACCCTCCAAAAAAAAAACAATAATTGGTCATTTTCAATCCATATGACTGTTTGTGGGACATTGCTGTGCGCAATTGGCTGCCGCGTTCGCCCACAAATATACAGTCAATTCACTTTACAGTGTGTTCTGTGAAGCGCTTTGGGGCGTCCTCCCGACGTGAAAAGCGCTATATCAAATGCAAGGATTATTATTATTATTATTATTATTATTATAAACTGAAGAGACAATTGACAACAACCCCTTATCTCCCCAATCCTAATATCCAGATCACAGAGTCTCTGAGCTTAAAACTGACACAATGGGAGCACACAGCTAATGAAATACAGCATAAAATGTGGCCAGATGTCATAGTACTACTATATTTTTCCAATCACCATCACTCTCTTATGCTGATCTTTAACCACCCGAGGGCTACTTGTCCAAGTACCAAATCAATTATACAAAGACGCAACTCATAGCTCTCGACCCAATCTCTCTTTTCCTCTTGAATGTAATAGACTCTCCATAAAGTGCTTCAACTGAAGGTTGCTCATAATATGCTTCGCAAGCGAGAGGACTTGGGTTCAATTCCTGGATGGGGCAAAACTTTAGGCAAGTTTCCTTAGTCCACATGCCTTTGCTTATCTAGCAGTAAGTAGGAACCTGGTTGTTAATCAATTAGCGGATCACTTTTTTGGGGGTAACAATGTAAACATAAAAAATGATAATTTGGTTACACAATCCATGACTGTTTGTGTGCAATTGTCGTTTCTCCCATACAGTCAATTCACTCTATAGCATATTCTGTGAAGCACTTTTAGAGACATCTCGAAAACGTGAGAAGGTGCTCTATCAAATGGAAGGATTATTATTATTGAGATCTGGAGCAGAAAAGCATCCTTCTAATTTTTGCAAGATGCCGTATTTCCAATATCTTAACTAGAACACTTGTATTGAACATTTTGTTCGTATTTGGATTGTAAAAGCAGTCAAAGACTTAAAGAAAACCCACATTTTTAAGGAAGCAGATGAAACAGCTGCATGAAACAATAACTTGATCACCACTGTTAAAACCATTTAAAAATTGAAAATCTGCTGAACTGGAGACCAGATTCAAATATTGTGCAAGTCTTTTGGGGAAACAATGTACATTTGTTTCAATTTAGGTTCGCCATTGCCAATTCAGTCTTGCAAAAAATATTTTCTACTCTTACAAATGTTATATCCATTAAGCTTATGCTGTGGTATGAAAAGGTCATGCTTGGAACTAAACAATGAATACTGTAGTTTATACTTTTTTTTAAACATTGTTCAGCCTCATCTACAGAGAAGTAGCTGGTCTTCCAATAATCACAACTTTTATTCACTGCAAGAATGTCTGTTTTCATAATGCTATTTTGATATTTCCTTCAATGTACAGCTGTCTTCTCATAGGGTTTCTGTCATCATAAAAAGCTATGTGAAATATACTTACGGGCAAATCAATGATCAAACATATCAACTAAAACTGTTTAAAGATGACAACTACACTGCTGCTTTTACTTGCAAAATAATGTCTCTCCTACCTAAGTTTTTCTGGTCAGACAGATTTCTGACACTCATTTAAACCCTTCACTATGCTTAGAAGTATCCAACCCAAACCATTGAACATTCCACATATGTATGGAAATTTCCATTTGACCTATTTAAAGCCCTAGGCGTTAAAACCATCACTCAATATGATCCCATGACATTATTTGAAAGGAGAAGTGAGTTTCGCCTGGTGACCTGATGAACTATGTTCCATATAAATTGGTAATTCATTTCAAGACTGTTTGTGTAACCTTGTGGCAATGCAAATTGGCTGCTATATTCAAGTGCAAATATACAGTTAATAATTGGACAGCAATTACTCATGGGTGATTTGAGACATTCTGACATTAAGGCACCATATCGAATGCAAGAATTTGTGATTATCAAAAATGCAACAAAATTAAGAAAGCTACTGCTTCACTATATACAAGAACTCCAGATTGCAGCTGAACACAACTCTGGAAGAACTGAAGACAGCCCCACAAAATAGGCATCTGTCCTCTCAGGTTGTTTCAGGACACCAATCAACTAGCAGTCACAGTAACTACAGCATTGGTGGAAACATAATCTCTTCCAGCCATAGGGATAAAATGGCCCCTTTTAAACAGAAACAGTGTACATAATTTTTTTTAATGAAGCAAAGTTTCCATAAAATTTGTGTGCATATACACTTGGGGTATTCACGCAAGCTTACATTGCTTAGTTTACACCCAACTTTTAGCAAGATAAGTTTTGCATTGGCTCACATAGATACCTACATTGTTCTTCTGCCCTCCCTTCTATGTTCAGTTTTCAAAATCACTATTTTCACTTTTAAAAGGAGCTACTCCAATGATAATTACAGTAAAAATTGTACAAATCTCATCTGGATGAATCGTATAATCACCTAAGTCATATATCAGCCCAAGTCTCATTCAAGAGTTTATATATAATCTGTGCCAAGTTTGACATAACTCAGACTTTGCAGAAGTCATATTAAACGCATTGTCCCAACTGATATGACTTACGTGAAAATTACTGTATTTGGATATTTAAAGTTATTGAAAGAAAAATGCAATTTGAAATTGGTTTCACAGAAAGTGCAGAAATATCCACGTGCCTTGACATGTGCGTTGTGTTCCACCTGGCAGCATTAATTACCACGTTCAGGCTGGTAGGACTCACAGCTGTATAAATGTTCCACCCCTGCTGCTTAAAAGTTACGAAAAACTAAGCAGCTTTTATATTTTACGATCCAGCTGGTGAAACCAAAACACTTTGGCAGAATGGCGTTATTATGTAAGGAAGGCGACTTCCTCTACACTCCTGCAGAAAGAATTCCATTTTCTCATTTTCATCGTGGCAATTTCAGATCAACTTATATTCCAACAAAAACTAAGGCTGCAGACATATTTTTCAGAAGTCTACTGGCTGAGAGGATTTGATCAGGTCTTTTACACATTCCAACGAAAGTAACTAACTCAACGAGCTACTGCCTTTTAAGAAAATAAATCATTATAGATTTAGCCACCATATATCCTGGAATATAGTTAGTGAGCAAGTGCAATTCAAAACGAAATCACCCTTCATCCAGAAAACGGTATACTTGCACATTTTATTTGATAGTGTACCGAATGGCTCAAGTATCGGTATGGTGTAGTTAAGCAGCTCAAGGCACAGTGAACACAGAGATTTTTATGTAACTGCAGGGACAATATTGATAAATAATACTAATAATACTTACATTTGGTATAGCACCTTTCAAGTTGGAAGGATGCCCTAAAGCGCGTGACACCGTAAACGTACAGAGACTTTTTTTCGTGGGCGAACACTTTCTCAGTTGTCATCATGCAGATTGCTAAAATCTTCATGTACTTACTGCACATCTGGAAACCAGTGCAGAATATTGCGGAGCACCACAAAAATTCAAATTTCGATAGAGTGCAAGGATTTATTTAGTGAAAATCTTATGGTACGTTCACATGGATTACACGCTAGATTTTAAGAAGCAAAGTGAAAGGAGGCCCAATGCCCCCACGTACCATTTTCAGGGATGTTGGCAGAAAGACCTGGCTCACTTGGCGGCTCCAAGCTATCCAGCAGTCGGTTCACCTTATTCCGAAGTTCAATCAGTTCCTTGCGAAGATATTTCACTTGATTTGATTCGAGAGGCCGAGGCTGTCCATTCACTGGGTTTAAAAAAAAATAAGTGAATAGTCACAGCATCAAACATGAATTATTGCTATTAAGTTGAACATTTCAGCGATCGCAACCTTTTCGATATACAATTTTTCAGTATGCGTTTTTCAGTAGTAAGACTAAACAACACCTGGCGTGTTTGTAACCACTTAACTATGGTTTCACACCACAAGAATGTAACGAGAAACATTTCCCCCTATTCCAAGAACTTCCTCAAAAATACCTGTTGAGCTTTTTAGTGTTTGCGATTATCTTAATTGATACAAACATATTGTCTTATATTGTCTTATGTTTGTATCAAAAGAATTGCAGCACTGTCATACCTGGTGCTCTACATAATGGTTCCGGTGAGACATCTGGTCACAATATTTAATAACTCCTGAAGAATGACTGGCAGAGTCACAATGTTCCTTGGGCCACATTCATTGTGATCTTGCACTGTACCATCCTTAAGTAACTTGCTTTGTACAATATTCATTTAAGATCCAAAATACAATCAAAGGCAATTTATAAAATTACTGCAATACATTACTAGGGATTTTTTTCCTGACCACAAGCATGTCTACTACACTTGGCCCCAGACCAGCCACCTGCCCTCAATCCCAAAACACTAAAATTTACTGATCTTAATTGTATACAATAGTTCATTGGACTAGACAATATATTTTTTCAAGTTATTGCCATCTGTAAGTATTCCAAAATAGGTTTGGATATTCAGCCTTTAATGCACACTTTTAGGTAACATCATGCTTGTGCTAAAGACTTCCCTGCACAACATAATGCATCTCTATGTGAGATTGCAATAGACATTTATCACTTTAATGATGGAGGAGCGAGACATTAACTGAACATTTATCGTTGACTAAAACTGGTGAGGTCTACTTAAGGGTAAACCTGGTTATATCAAAACTATTACAGTAATACTGCAGGGTTAATGTTCCAAGTAGAGACTACCACAACATGCATCATACATCTTAAAATACAAACAGACCATCATTCTCATCAGTAGTTATTACAAGTGGAAATATATATTTGAGAGATTGGAGAGCAATGCATTGTATAAAATATTTTGAAACATTTCAATGTGTTAGAATATTCATTTAATACAGCGGCCTATTAATAAAAAAATCTTTGAATAACCCTTTGGTTTGTTTTGTAACCTTGAAAATCCTCACTAAAGTGAAAATTTTCAAAGTTACAAAGCAGACCACTAAACCAAAGTTTAGTGAGAAATGCAAACTTATACAATAATTTCAACCATTGTTTCACAAAGTAGAGCAAAGCGCTCATGAGGAAGTATCAGTCTTCATGGAGTCACATTTCTACAAGTTTAAATATTCCAGATATGTTACCTAAGGGGATCACTGAATGATACTGGACATCTGCAGAATCAATTCATAACACACTAGAGAGCATTCAGAAAGCTATTGTCTATTTCTTTTACTAAATAAATTATTCAATAGTTTCACAGTTGAATCCCAGCTAACAGCAGATAACGTAGCAAGATAGCCTTAGCCCTGTGACTCCAAAAGCACAGTACAAGCATATCATTAGGTGCTTCTTGTTTCGTATACCAGACACAGTGTTCTTACACCTTTACTGGCAAATGAATGGCCAATTAGTAGTTAAGCATTACACCGTACAGTATTGAGTGAGTGATGCTTTGTTAGGGGGGTGGCAGGTTGGAGGGGAAAACAGCCTTAAAATGAGACATTAAAAAAACAAGATCCTGAAATTTGAAGGAGGAAATTCTAGTTTTCTGCCATTTCTCCAAAAATCACCTTTTTAAAACAAAATTTGTTATTTTTGTTTAGTGCAGAGTTCCCGTGCTGTACTTGTCTCGATAAAAGCAACTACATTTCAGAGAAATACATTGTACGAAATATTTTGAAACATTTTAATGTGTTAGGATGCTGCATCGAACAAGTATATATTATTTATAAGCAACGCTTTGAATAGCTGATATGCTTTGTAACTTTGTAAATCAACAAAAATCAACAATTCCTATTGCACTACAGAATTCATTTTCTCAGCAGTTTTACTACGCAACAAAGTAGAAATAGTGGAGCAGCAGCACAGTGCCATTAAACATTGGTGTATTGTTGTTCTGATGGAATTGGAAACGAGCGATTCAGCAAATGGCTGTTTTCTGATTGTCGGGTTGTCACCCACACTTCCTGTGTGTTGCACACTACGTGTAGAACATCACTAAACTCGCTTCCTTCACAAAGTGACATCAACTGGGCTTCCTGCGTATAGGTACAAGAAGTGATATCAAAGACGAGTTGACAACCCCAAAGATAGGCATTTTTGTTGTGGAAAGCTGGATAGTCTGTACCAGAGGCCATGTGCACAGTAGACCTATAAACTATAAAGTATGGAATGTTATATTAAAGGACAGTGTAACAGGAATCCCTTGAAGTAACCAGTAAACAATGGGCTATGAACAATTTCCCAATTATTAAATCCACGAGCACAAAGAATATTATTATTTGCTATTTTGGAACACACTTTGGCTGCAAAAATGAATATTCTACTATTTGTCACTTAAATTTTTTTTAAACCAACTTTTCCTCAAATCTAACATTGCAAAATTGGACCCAAAATGTGCATTTAAAATATGGAACACACTTTTCAAATTAAAAGTATACAATCCAACCCGACAAAAACCCCTGAAGCAAAAAAAAAAATGCAACTTTCTTAGAAAAGTACTGAAGGGATGTCTGGTATGTGAACAATTGCTCTTGGATGGGAATGGTCACATATTGTAATTATAAAGATTGAAATAAAGCAACAAATGTTCCACATGTAATTCTTGGAAGCTAAAAAAAACGTGAATTCAAATTGGAAAACAGTTCCAAGACTAAAACAATTTCATGCATCTTAAAAAGGTGAAATAACGAGCTGGCTTGATCATAACCAAATGCACTTCAGGTAAATGAAGCCTGCGTTCAAGTAAAATCAATGTCAGTTCCAGCACCTTTGTTAACATGGTTAAGTACACACAGGATATGTGCATGTCCCTATTATTTAGAATAATAAGCAGAAGAGGGCACAACATATGAAACCCCAGACACAAGTCACACTTTATTTTTAAAACAAATTTATGACAAAGGCTACCTACTAGAATGTCAAATATTTGCGTAAAATACAGTAAATAGGTTTAGAAAAATGGACTCCATATACAATATATCAAAAATGGTGCTGGGATACTTTCTTCAGTAGGGGAATGAATGAGCTGGGATCTGAGAAGGAAGAGATGCCACAACAGAAAAATAAACCATGGCCCCAACTCCTGAATTTCCTCAAACTTTATAACTTAAGGTATGACACAGTTGGACACTTGAAAGCAAAGAATTGACCTATTATATATATACACACACACGTTACTACATTCTGACACAACTGTTAAAAGTAGTTTAGATTCACATTTTTTATTGTAAAATAAAAACACCACCATTGTTATCTATCACTTTATTGGAAAGCAAATGATCATAGGTGAGAAGAATACAATAATGTGCCAAACATACTCAACTGAAGATTAATAAGGCAAAGCACCAACCTTGACACTCGACCATACAAAATCTAAAGAGGAGCAACCAAATGTGCAAGTGGCAATTTAATAGACTGACAGCAGAAGTCAAACAAAGTACTGTTCTACTGAAATCACTCAATTTTGATTACACTTCACTGATTTTCAGCCGAGCTCCAAAGTAGCCGAAAGATTTACTAGAAAATGAACAAACGCGTAGCAAAAGAACACTGGGAGATATGTCTTCTAACAACCACACGCCAGAGCAGTTAGAATTGATATCATTCTTTCAAATCAGATGCAAACTTCATCAAGAACTGCAAGAGCCTCCACTCTTGAAGTAATTGCAGAGGAGAAGAGTGTGGCAACAAAATCGGGTCCGCAGTATTGCAGAGCACTGCTGATGACAGCCCAGCCAGCCCGGCTCAACGCCAGGAGATGGAAGGTCAGCCCATTCACTGGGAACAGGGCGTCTTCCCACTCAACTCCTGTTAATCCTGCAAGCCAGGTAGGGTCGTCATTCAGAACTCTGCAGCTCGTGTACTGTCCCGCACCAGGCTTCGGGACCACATCACTCCCACCCTCGCTCGCCTCCACTGGCTCCCCATCCCCCAGAGGATTGATTTCAAGATCCTCATCCTCACCTACAAGGCCATTCACGGCCTTGCTCCCTCCTACCTCTCCAACCTACTATCCCCCTACCTACCTGCCCGTACCCTCCGTTCCTCTGGCTCCGGTCTGCTCCACGTCCCCCGCCCCAATCGCCCTACCATTGGTGGTCGGGCCTTCAGCCTCTCAGCCCCGAGGCTCTGGAACTCCATCCCCCAGTGCCTTCGCCGCCTCCTCCCTTTCCTCCTTCAAGGCCGGTCTCAAAACCTTTCTCTTTGACCGAGCCTTCAGCTCCCCTCTCGACTCTCTTCCCGCTTCTCGCTCCCTCCCATCCCTCCCCTCACCCTGACCATTTCCCCCTCCTCGCTCCCTCCCTTCCCTCCCCTCACCCTGACCATTTCCCCCCTGCTCGGGTCATGACCCAACTGTGCAGCGCCTTGGGACGTCCTCCTGACGTGAAAGGCGCTTTATAAATGGAATCTTGTTGTTGTTGTTGGTCATAGCTGGACGAGCAGCGGGAAGCTTGCCAGACAGCGCTTTCAACGACAAGCGGAAAAGGTAAACAACAACTGGAATGCGTTATTTGGACAGGTGGTGGAAGCCAGGCACTGGACTCTTAAAAAGCAGCTTGATGCTAGAATGGGAAGATGTTATTCTTGGATCAAGACAAATGGGTCATCTTATCTGAACCTTTCTTGTGGTCACCATGTAAAACACAAATTAGCGAGAGTACTGAGCAAAAACTTTTTCTATCAAAAGTTAGAAATTAAAGCATTAGCCCCACACCCGCCAGCCTTCTTACTCCATCTCAGTCTCTCGATCTCTCCTTTCTCTCTCTTGACTTTCTCA